GTTGCTACACACTCTCAGAGCCACATGTGATCCTGATCACAAGTGTAATTATGTGTCTAACACCTGTCTTTCACAGTAATATAGAAGCTTTGTGAGGCTCGGAACCATCTTTGTTCCCACAGTTGTGTGCTCAGTATTCAACATGGTGTTGGCACAAGCTACATGCTCAGTAAATATTTGCTAAATGAGCATTTTGAGTACTGATGGAAGTAACTTACACAGTCCTCTGTAAAGTTGAGCAAATTACTTAGACTATCTACTTGGTAACCTTTGTAAAGTCACAGGTCAACTTGTTGCCTTTTTCCATATTCAGAATGGGAATAATAACTCCCTAAATACAAGGATTATTGTAAGGATGTGTGAATTAATTAAGAAACCATTTGGGAGACTTTCACTCTCTAAATCCGATATGGTATTTGGGTTTTGGTAATTGTGTGGGTAATTAATGCCTTGTGGTATAGTTTAGAAAATTTAAGGTTTTCTTAAATTTCATGTATTTCTTAAGTAAAAAATTTAGTAGCTAAAATTAAGCCTTTGGTTTTTTTCTTTTTGGTTAACCCTTAAGTGATAGGCTTTATATTTACCATGATGTAATAAACCCAAGGAATAATTTAATAAATTGAGTACTTTAGAAAAAGGTAGTTTGATCTTTGGTGAAAATAGCAATTTATATATTAATCTTCAACCAAAAATTTTATTTTTATTTCAATTCCAGTATAATTAACATACAGTTTTGTATTAGTTTCAGGTATACAATATAGGGATTCAACAACTCCATCTATTACTCAGTGCTTATCAAGATAAGTGTAGTTTTAATACCTTTCACCTGTTTCACCCATCACTCCCTCTGCCCCAATCTGTTTGTTCTCTATAGTTAATAGTTTGTCTTTTGGTTTCTCTTTTTTCCCCTTTGTTTTGTTTCTTACATTTCACATATGAGTGAAATCATATGGTATTTGTCTTTCTCTGACTGACTTATTTCGCTTAGCATCATATTCTCTAGATCCATCCATGTTGTTGCAAATGGCAAGATTTCATTCTTTCTTATGAATGAATTATATATATATGTGTTTGTGTGTATATATATAAATTCATCCATAAGAAAGAATGAAATCTTGCCATATGTGTATATGTGTGTGTATATATATATATATGCCATATGTATGTGTATATATATATATATACATATATATGTATATATACATATATATATTCTTATGGGTGAATTTTTTATATATGTGTATGTATATATATATATATATATATATGAAAAAATTCATCCATAAGAATGAATGAATATATATATTGAATATATACATATATTCTATATATATATATATATATATATATATAATGAATATATATATATACACACACATGCCTCATCTTTATCCATTCATCTATTGATGGATATTTGGCTAGCTATTGCAAATAATGCTGTATTAAACATAGGGATGCATATATCCTTTCAAATTTGTGTTTTTGTATTTTTTAGGTAAATACTCAGTACAATTCCTGGACCAAATGGTAGTTCCATTTTTAATTTTTTTCTATTTTTAATTTTTTGAAGGACCTCCATACTGTTTTCCTCAGTTTGCATTTTCCCAGTTTGCATTCCCACAAACAATGCATGAGGGTTCCTTTCCCTCCCCATCCTTGCCAACACTTGTTTCTTGTGTTTTTTTGGTTTTAGCCATTCTGACAGGTGTGAGCTGACATCTTACTGTGGTTTTGATTTGCATTTCCCTGATGGTGAGTGAAGTCGAGCATCTTTTCATGTGTCTATTGACCATCTATATGTCTTCTTTGGAGAAATGTCTGTGTCTTGTGTCCAATTTTTTAATTGAATTATTTCTTTTTTTGGTTTCAAGTTGTATAAGTTCTTTATATATTTTGGATACTAACCCTTTTTCAGTTATGTCATTTGCAAATATCTTCTCCCATTCAGTAGATTGTCTTTTAGTTTTGTTGATCAACCAAAAATTTTGTCCTAGAAATAATTATGCAGCCTAAAATTTTGGAAATTTACTTTCTACTTATAAAATTTGCCAAAAATTCAAAATTTGCCAAAAGATTCAACAGAGTGAATGTTTTTTCTTTTTAATTAATTACTTCAGGGTTTTCTCATACCAATCATAGAATTTTTTTTTTAATTTTTAAATTTTTTTATTTTTTAAAGTTTTTTTTTTTTTAAGATTTTATTCATTTATTTGACAGACAGAGATCATAGGTAGGCAGAGAGGCAGGAAGAGAGAGAGGAAGGGAAGCAGGCGACCTGCTGAGCAGAGAGCCCAATGCGGGGCTTGATCCCAGGACCCTGGGATCATGACCTGAGCCAAAGGCAGAAGCTTTAACCCACTGAGCCATCCAGGCGCCCCCAATCATAGAAATTTATCATCTCACCTTTTCCTGAAGAATGGTGATAACATTTCTGATCCTGAACTGTGTTTCCAATCACCAGACATCACTTGACTACCTATGACCAGTGGTCTAAAGTTATTTAATATTTTACATCATATGAGAATTGAAGGGCAAAAACTAAGAGCTATATTTTGCATAGCAAACATGTAAAGTAATAGTTTTACATTTTTCTTGCTCTTATAAACTTAATGTCATTAATCATCATTCTTAAAATACCAGGCATACTCTACCTTATTCTAAAACTATTGAAAAAAAAATTTTTTTAAGATTTAATTTATTTGACAGACAGAGATCACAAGTAGGCAGAGAGAGAGGGGGAAGCAGGCCCCTTGCCGAGCAGAGAAGCCCAATGCAGGGCTCGATCCCAGGACCCTGAGATCATGACCTGAGCCGAAGGCAGAGGATTTAACCCACTGAGCCACCGAGGTGCCCCTAAAACTATTGAAGTTTAAACAAAAGGTAGTCATGGAATTAATCAGAACAAAGAAATGAACTTACCATATTGAATATTAGCCTAAAGGGGGTAATTTTTTTTTTTAAGTTGTCTCTATACGCAACACAGGGCTCGAACTCATGACCCTGAGATCAAGAGTTGCATGCTCTACCAACTGAGCCAGCCAGGCACCTAAAAGGGGTAGATTTTAATAAAAATTCTATCAGGTAATTTTCTCAGCTGTGATCCTGTATATTAAATATTATGAAATGTGAAAAGGACTCTGTCATATTAATTCATTAATAAAAAGTGCTTACTGAGTGCATTATTGGGCAAAGCCCTGTGCATACGGATCCCTGTGCATAGGGTCACAAAGAATGTAACAATCTCAGGAGACCCATTTAAGAAAACACTGAGGGGCACCTGAGTGGCTCAGTCAGTTAAACATCTGACTTTGACTCAGGTCATGGTCTTAGGGTCCTGGGATTGAGCCCCATGTCAAGCCCCATGAAGGGCTTCACTCTTAGTGGGGAGTCTCCTTGTCCCTCTGCCCCTCCCCTTGCTCGTGCTCTTTCTGTCTCTCAAAAAATAAAATCTTAAAAACATTGAAAACTTATAGAAAAGACCTTGGTGATGGCTTCTCCATTTTTCAGATTACTCAAAGAAAAGATGTTGGCAATGCAAATTAAAATAGGTATTTTATTGAGAAACTTGCTTTGTCAGTGAGAGTAAAAGTTACAAATATTTTTATTTAATAAAATTAGCATATCCATAATCCTAAAAATATCCCTTAAAAAGCCTTTTTCTGAAACCTCAGATCATTCAGATCCAGAGTTTTCTCTTAGTGTTTCCGATGGAAAAAGATGCTGCTTATTCCCTTCATGCAAATACTAGAACATGTGTAGTATGCCTTGTTCACAAAACAAATTCTCCAGTTTGAGTTGCCTGCATGCATGTGAATTAGTATCTATACTGCTGTCAGTATAAAAGTTTCCTTGTATAACAGTGAAACTTTATGCTTACTCCTGAGCATTCTGAGACTTATAATATGGTCATATAAAAAAAAAAAAAAGGTCTTGCAGCAACATAGTTCTGCTGAAAAAACATCCCCATCCCCTAATTATAACATAAAGTTGGTAGAGGTTAATACTACACAATAAAGTGTAATTTACTCATTAAATACACCAGGCTTCCATGCAGGTTTTTTTTTTTTAATTACATATTTGTTGCATTAAAAGGACAATGATTTAAATCTATAAATTATTCTCTAAATGGCTTTTACATGAGACATTAAAAGTATGAGAAAAATAAATACTTGAAACATGTTTTAAATAAGTTAAACCAGCACTAACACCTAATAATTAAGCAGAGGTTCAAAGGTCACGTGAATAGATCTCATTTTAATTTTCTGGAGATAAAGCTTATCTGAGGGCAACACTGAATAATTTTCAAGTTTATAGATTTTTATACATGGATACTTTAAAAAGACTAAATTCTAGATGTAAAAGGATGTTTTTAAATCTTGACTTGAACTATATAGTTTTTTTTTTTTTCTTTTTAACTACAAGGAATATATTGATAGGGCTATCCTTCTGCACTGTAATGCTTTGTGCAAACACCAGAACTGATATATGAAAATAATTTTGTTGATAAAATTTAAACAGAACTGGTGAAATTATCTTTAGTACAAAAGTTAAAGATTACACTTCTGTTGATAGATTTTGAAGATAATATTTATGGTGGTTCTTATTTGCCTCGTGTGGCACAGATTAGTACTTCGGATACAAAAGCAAGAAAAAAATGAACTTAAAAAAATATTGCTTCTAGTTTTAATGGGTGCTATTTGTCAAGAAAATGGGAAAAACAGAATAAGGAGGCCTTTTATCAGAATCATTAAAATTCTTTTTCAGGAGATGCTATCAGTAAGTGCAAAGTTGTCATAATTTAAGGTCCATTTCCTGCCAGCAGTATACCTGCCAAATTTGGCGATTTAAAGCACAAGTACATTGGATGTCAACTTTGAAATTATAGCAAACAGATGCAGGGAACAATATTTTAAAATGCTGACATAACTAGTTTATAGTATTTATTATACTTACTATCAGAACTTTAAATTTTGACTTGGTTTTCTCTTTTTCCTAAGTCAGTTTCCTGTGAGTTTTCCATACACATGAAATCACAAAATGTTCGCATGGGGTAGGAACACATCTCACCGAATTTTACAGATGAGGCAACTGAGATTCAGAGAGGTTGTGATTTGCCCAAGGTCACACAGCTTATAAGAAACAGATCTGGGGCTAGAATATGGCCCAGGGTTGTCTCCTTCATAACTTAGGTCCTAGGGGATGGGGATGAATGCTCAATCTCTTTATATCTTTCCGGTGGGGGCGTGTTTGCATTAATAGCAGGAGGACTCTGTTCAGGACTCTTTTGAAGAAATCTATAAAACAAGTACTCATCCCGAAATTCATACTCGTTGGTAATATGTTGGATGACTCCCCCTTGCACCAGTCTATCTCCATATATCACAGCTTCACCACGGTCAGAGGCAAGGCCAACTTCAATGAGCCAGTTCACCAGGTCACAGCCACAGAAGGTCCCGGCAGACGTCTTTGCACCACACCTGTATGTCAAAGGAATGTTTCACCCATATGTTCTGTAAACCCGGTATCAGCACTGCATGATAGAGGACAAGCAAGGAAAAACAGGAGACAGGGAAACACAGCATGATAGTTAAAAGTGTGGCAGGAATGAAACTATTCTAAATATAAAGGGTTTGTTAACTCACCTGACCCTAGAAAGATCCACCAGAAAAAAATGCCAATAATGCTTGTGAAAACAGAAACACGTAAAAAAAACAACATAATGTAAATGCGTCTACAAAGAAGCATTCTTTTTATAGTGCCTGGCCTTTTACAATCAGCTCCATTCTGTAGACAGCTGAATATTGTTCATTTCATAAGTTATACTCTTCGGTATAAGAGGTCACTTAATTGTCTCAGGAACATTAATATTTTTTGTAAGCTCCTAAGAAGTGACATTTTAACTAAACTACACAAATCAAACATCATTATTTTCTGTTTATCACAGTGCCCACAAGTAGTCTTTCTTCTTGCCTTCTGCTGCAAGACAACCTTACTGATAACATTCGTCAAGAATATGCATTAGGGAAGCGCCTGGGTGGCTCAGTGGGTTAAGCCTCTGCATTTGGCTCAGGTCACGATCTGGGGGTCCTGGGATCAAGCCCGGCATCGGGCTCTCTGCTCAGCAGACAGCCTGCTTCCCCCCACCCCCTCTCTCTCAAATATATAAATAAAATCTTTAAAAAAAAAAAGAATATGCATTAGGAAATAAGGAAGTGTGATCTATCTTGCTACAAATGTTGGGTCTTGAAAATGTACTTTGATCATGAATCTTTCTTGATTATTTAAAATCTGTCTTCCTAATGCAAATAAGGGGTACCTCACATATGAAAAAATAAACAAGGGGGGAGGAAAATGTAAAAGAACCAATTAAAGGAATTCTGTAGGTTTTCATCCAAATAGGTAAGAGATAACATGAGTCTGTCCACAAGCATTAGTCAAGCTGTAAAACCTGCGGTGCTTGACAACATGTAACAGCGGATGAAAATCAAGATGAAACGAGAAGTAGGTGACAAACATTTTAGACCACTTAACCACCAATGAATATAGCGTTCCATATAAAAATTAGAAAAGAGATTAATAGACGTGAAAGATCTTTTCAAGGACATAAAATATTTTAACATCAGTATTTTGCTTAGTAACGTCTAAATTTCTGCTTTGCAATGACAGATATCACTTTGAACAAAAGCCTGGCTATTACAACCTCTGTCTGATCCTTCTCCCTGCTTGTTGATTTTTAACTTATGGCCCAACACTTATAACCCCAGACACCAACTGAATAATAATTGCTTCCTGATGACTGACCAGGCAACTCCAATCGCAGCACATGGAACCATACAGAGTGGTAGGGAATGTGCCGCCGTACAAAATGCGGAGGGACAGGGCCACCAGCTAGAGCCTCTTCATCCGGAAGCAAAAGCCATGCTTCCAACAGTAGGCTGTCACAGTGGGCCTTTCTTAAGTGGAGTGCCCTTTCTTCATTTAAAAAAAATCATTGTAAATCGTTGGAAGTATCCACAGATGGAACTTTGAAATCATTCTCTTTATGGATCTTTAAGGGTAAGAAACTAACTTTTCTTCATAGTTGACCATTCCCAGAAGCTGAGCGAGGACAGGACCATCATATAGATTTTGCTATCCAATTCAAAGATGTGTTATCTAACTTTAGAAAAGAGGAACACAAAGGTTTAGAGAATCGAACTGGCCCAATTCACAGAGCTAGTAAGTGGCAGACTCAGGAGCTGTCCTCTGAGATCGGTGTCCGACCAGTGAGTCCCCTTTCTACTAGCTATACCAGGCTACCTTTTGTTTATAATAATATACTGGCATAATAATAAAATTATACTGGCAAAAATTATATATTCATAATAAAATAAATATTGTTTATTTATTTATAAAAATAAAAATTATATATTTTAATAAAATATACTGTCATAATATGTGTAAATATGTGTAAATATAGCATCTGAATGGTAATCTGCATAAATTTTCAAATACATAGTTACAGACATAAAAGCACTTGGCTTTTTATGTTATTTTTTTTCTCTTTTATAATAACCAAAAGTCATGGCACTGTAACATTCATTTCCTGCTGCATGCTCCATACCTTAAGGATTAGAAGAATAAATATGATGTCATAGACTGAAGATTAGGACTTGAAGGGAAAAATAAGCAGCAGAATTAATAAAAGACAAATTTCATTTCATTTTCTTGACAATGTCATTAATAATATGAAATAACGTACCGCTAGGAGATGGAGAATAGAAAGCCACATCTAAATCCAGTGTATCTCATAGTTTTGTGAGAGACACTAATGGCCAATATGAAGTGAATGTTAATATTTGACTACATCTTGGTTCATTCTCAATTAGTTTTCACATTTTATATGGAAATCAGAAGTTATATAACACTTAGAAAGTGTAAAAATCTTACAAATGCTCTTTCTCAAATTATAAACTGACCCATAGCTATTTTAACTTTTACATGTAAATATGCTATTGAAAATAACCATGTAGTTAGTTACAACCACATTACTTAGCCTGTTACAAACCAAAATTAATCATCAAAAATATAATTATCTGGAATTTGTACTTACCTTCTTTCCTTGACAATGTTTCGGATACAGAGGTCACGGTGATAATGGATAAATTGTTGACAGGTCATTTTTATTTCCTCAGGAACAGGAGAACCCCTGTTTTCTGCTGACTCTTTATTATTCCATAGGAATTCAAGTCTAAAAACCAAAATTATGGAGGCCACTTTTAAGGAAAGGAAAACACTGAGAGGAAACCCCTTCTTGCTTATCACTCCATCAACATGGCTCTTCCAAAGGTATCATCTTCAACATGCAGATATGGTTAGTCTCTGAAGCAAAGACATAACCTGCGCTTGGTTTCCTGGTCCAAGCAGGTGGGGTGGGGGTGATGTGAGGCAGGGTGGGAGACTTGAGACTTGAACATTTTATAAACCCTCCTGACATATTTGATCTATTTCAGTTTCTGCCAATAAATGAAGTTCTTTTCTTATTCTACATTCTACTGTTTTAAGCTGCAAAAATAATTTACAGAGGTCAAGTATTTTATTTAATCATTTTCCAATTTCAGTACCACGGAGACAAATACTGGGATCTGGAATACAGCACGATTCTGTTTCTGTAACGTTGGACAATTGATCTGTTGACTTTTTTACCCAGTCAACATTATGAAGCTGATAACTAAGTTCAGTGACTTTTCTATTACGCTTTTCTTCTTTAATGAAATGATTATGACCCTAGTAGCTACATCTTAATAATGTAATGATATCAATGATGACAAAAAAGAAGAAGGAAAAGAAAGAAGAGTGACCATCTACTGGGCACTCTTTATATAGTTGGTTGGATAAAATCCACCAGTACTTCCAATTTCTACCAATTTTGACTTTGAAAACAAATGAGGATATACAAAGTCTTGTGCCCCCCCCCTTTCCTGCCACTCCCAAGTTGGAGAATTCCCACTTCATTATTGTATTCACACTATCATTATTATAAAGAAATTCTCAATCTGAATCCAAAGAAACTCTTCATCAAGCAATTAAAAAAATTTTAGAAAGAAGAGAATTTTCGTTTTCTAGAAATTGTCAGTTTGATAGAAAGAGAAATCCTAATATCAAAGAATCTATATTGTCAAATACAGACCTTTGGGGGCACAACATCTATGATTTCCATTTCTAAATACATTTTTTTTTTTTAAGATTTTATTTATTTATTTGACAGAGATCACAAGTAGGCAGAGAGGCAGGCAGAGAGAGAGGAGGAAGCTGACTCCCCGCTGAGCAGAGAGCCCGATTCGAGACTCAATCCCAGGACCCTGGGATCATGACCTGAGCCGAAGGTAGAGGCTTTAACCCACTGAGCCACCCAGGTGCCCCTCTAAATACACTTCTAAGTTTCATTTTACTTTATGTAGTTAATGGCATAGGTAGAAGTCTGCATCCATCATTTCTTGTTAAAATGCAAATGACAATGTTGGATTAATCAGAGTTCTCCTAATATTTTCTCCATAGTTATTAACAAAAGATATGTGAATCAACATATAACCTTTCTTCAGTGTTTAACAATTTACCCTTTCTGTAGTCTCCTAGCAGTTACTGAAGGCTTAAAAAATATCAGTATCTTAATAGAATGGCCTTGTCATTACCTTTACAGATACAGATTTATTTCAAAATTAAATTTACCTTCTTTTGAAAGGCAGAATGATTAAATGTTTGTCCAATCCAAAGATGCCAAAGGAAATAAATCCCTATGGAAGAGGAAAAGTTACAGTTATGAATTCAACACTAGAATGTTAAGGACTGGGGAGTTATGGAAACCACCATATTTAGTGCTGAGGGAAGCAAACCCATAGTGATTACAGCAATAGTTTAAATGGAATACAAAAGTCAGGCCCTCTATAAAGTTTAATGCCTGGAGGCAGGTATGACTTGGCTGCCTCTTTCTAGTCATCTATCCTACTAATTATGTTGGAGCACTGGTTTAAACCAGTCCTGAGCGACCACATCTGCATCCTAGCTTATTGAAGAAAAATGAAAACATTTCAGAGCTTTATGTCTTTTTTTCCTCTTTTTAAAAAAAGAAAATAAATTATCTCCTATTGGGATTAGGTATTTACTATTTCTCTATTAACACTTCAGAAATTATAGAATTATATAGTATTTGGTTCTAAGGAAGTAACTGAACTTTATGTGAACTTTACGTGAAATGAAGTTGGCTAGGTGCTTACAGAAAGGCTTTGAAGACTTTGGGAGTGATGAAGCAAACTGGCGCTGGAAGTCAGCCACAGATCTGGACAGTTGCCCCTGCTTGGGGAGGCAAGAGGCTGGGAACTGCCATTTGTCAGGCGCAGCGGGATAAGGATCTAAGTGCCGGTTGGTAGGAGGTGGGATGGAGAATGTAATACATTGCACAAAGGATCTACCTTTCTTTACCCCCAAACTGTAAACAACCAAAAAGGAATGATCTTACTATAACACCTAGATGGGATGTGGTGGTGCTGGTGGTGTGGGGAGGGTCTCTCTCTCTCCTTTGAAACACCGGGCCCATTAGCTGAGGGGGTACCATTTCAAATGCAACATTCCTGGCATTAGCTTCTTTGTGAAGCCCTCTCGGTCCCAGTGTTGGGGTGACTCAGCCTGGAGTGGCTTTGCTGAATACAAAATGCTGAGTGAAACTATGAGTTTTCAACCTAGTATTTTATAGGTCTTGGGCACAAAATCAGATCTCACACAGAGTCACAAAGTGAGGTAGGCATCAAGTAGCCTAGGATACTTGACTCTATCTGTAATAAACTGAACAGGTCACTTATCTATCTGGACAGAGTCCTTTTGCTCCCACAATAATGGCTAAACAAACCAGAAATATTTCAAGAAATTAATGTTAGGATAAAATGTGCAGGAGTGTTTACTGATAAATGTTAACTGACTCAGTCAGTTATTAAAACCAATGTTTTCAAACACAGTATTTTTTTCAACCTGATACTTAGTCTGGGGACTAAGGTTCCCTGATTAAAAGGTAAGGGATTGAAAACAATCACATTTTGAACTTTACACATAAAAGTATCCTCCCAATACACAAAATATCACTTATCCTTAAATATCCATTTTAATAGTGACATAAAAACAATAGCATCTATTATATTAGTTCTCCATGGAACTTTCATTTCTAATTTGTAAACTGGGAATGATAATGTCTACTTTGTAGGTATTCTTTATGTTTAAGTAAAATGACTAATGTATAATGCTTAATAATGGTTGGCATATAGTAGTAGGTCCTCAAGGAACAGTAACTAACTATCCCTGGTCAAAATTTATTTACCCACCACAAGATTTTTTAAAAAAGATCTAAGTACCTATTGTCTGAGAAACATCAAAATATAAATGAAACAACATTCATCAATTTAAGTGACTAAACTAAAGGCTCAGGGAAGGTAACTCTTTTTCCCAAAGTGACTTATTAAGACAGTCACAAAGTTTAAAAAGAAACTGGAACATCTTGTCCCTGCTTAAATTATCATTCTTTATTTTAAAACCAAAGCAAAAAATGATTTGGTGTTTCTGATTGAAACACTCCGTGTGCATTCTGATGACTTGAACCAATATGGAGACCGGCAACAGCTGTCAGCTGCCACGCATACCAGCAGCTGGCAAACCAACTAAACCATTTTGATTTAAAAGAAAACAACAACATCCGCACCACTACCCCCTAAACAGCCCATCCAGGAAAACAAAACAAAAAAGCCCTCAAAGTTCTCAGGAAATAAATACCTGGCCAAAGTTAAACACAGCACAGAAAAACTGTAACTCAACATAGAGCCTTCCAGGTTCTTGGTTGAATAGCCACCATAAACAACTGGAAAGATTCTGTAAAGGAAGGAGAAAATAGTATTTTAAAATGAAGCTAGCTGATCATTTCTCCCTATCCAGAACACAGTACAATAACTTATCTGCTTAATAATTAGGCAGAGAAAGACTAAAAGGAAAAACACTGAGAGAATATAGAGGCTTTGTCTTTTGAACAAGAGGTTTCAACCTCTCCTCTTGACAGATGTCATTCAAACAGCATCTAATTTGATCAGACTTGAAGCAAGAAGACATGCGCTATAATACAGAAGCTTACATAACACATCAGGTCTGCCGACTAGCCCAAGACAGGACTGATTTTAAAATTAGTTCTACACAATGAAAACAATCACATCGCTAAGCAGCAGTTCTTGGCAGCATTTCTTACTTTTTGATTTTTTTTCTTAAATAGCAGTTAAAATGGTGCTGGCTGATCGCTTTCTATGCAACCAGCATCCCCATGTAAAAAGGTTTCTTCATACGTTACACGGTCCACCTCCCATCTCTAGGCAAGTTACACTTGAACCATCTCAAAGAATTCTATAATAATAACTGATAATGCACAAAAGAGGACATAAAACATTCTAAAAGCCCCTAGGAATCAGAGAAATGCATTGAAAAAATGCTGCATTTCACTGACAAAATGATAAAATTTAAAAATTTTTAACATTCAGTGCTGGTGAGAGTACTTTGACAAATCTATACTACTCCTTCAGAAAACAATTTGAGAGAATGCATCCAAATATTTGTACTCTTTGGTCTAGATTTCCCAACTTTGAGAGTCTATCACACAGAAATATTACATGGAGATGTCTATTTAAGCATTTTGAAGAACTAGGAATAACCATCCCTAAGAAAGTGGTTGAGTAAATTATAACGTATCTCCTCTATGGTTTATTGAGGAGCCATTTCCAGTAACAGGAACTATGTAGCAACATGAAAATGGTTGACACAGGTGACAAAACAGGGTATAAATCTGTATGACAATTAGAACCAGGAAAAGTGTATTAAAAATAGAAGGCAGTAATCTTATAACTATCCATGGTATGAGGTGGTTGTGTTATTTTCATAATGAAAAATTCTGTTTAAAGGCTTATTTATCTGACGAGTGTCTCCTGCGAAACCATGTCGGCATTTATCCAACTGAGGTCGGTCTTGCAAGGAATATGTTAGAATAAGCAGCCCTATACACAGCATGGAGATACCTGGTCTTACCAAATTACAGGTTCAGAGACTAAACCAAATAGGCTATTTGGGCATTTAGGCTACAGAGTGCTGTGAATTCTTCACCTCCCTTGCTCCCCAAAACAGCTCAAGGTCGGGATTCAGACTGGCCTGGTTGCCACCCACCCCTCCCAGAAGCAGCAACTAAGTTTCCCCCAGATGCCTGAATAAAATCTTTGCCAAACATTTAAAGAAATGGCCCCCAAACAAAAATCAGAAGAAACATTTACAGCAAACAGGCCAATAATGAGAAGTAAACACAGCAACACGTGTCGAGTCAGTTGCTGATCTCCGCTCTGTAGATACTGCTCTTCTTCCTGGACTAACATGCAGCTCTGGGAGTTACAGCGACTCACACAATGATCATCTATAAGACAGTAAGTACAACAATTTGTAATCAGAGCTTTTTATTTGAATGCATTTTAAATTCATAATGACTTTCGAAGCAAACCAGCACATATGCACATTCAGCTCAGAATCAGTATATTATTTTAGAAGGAATCTGAGGGAGGCTCTTTCATGTGGTCTCAGGAGAGTTCTACTTGTCAAGTGTTTGCATCTGGAAAAATACAAGGAGGATGCCACAGTTCCCTTCTACACTAGTCAACAGTGTAACATATATATATTTTAAGACCAGGTTTACTGTATCTACTTAGAGAATTTTTCTTTTCTTTTTTCTTAAAGATTTTATTTATTTATCTGATAGAGAGAGCAGCAGCAACAGAGAGAGAGGAAGAAGCAGACTCTCCCTCTCCCGGAGCAGTGAGCCTGATGTGGGACTCGATCCCAGGCTCCTGGGATCATGACCTGAGCTGAAGGCAGATGCTCAACTGACTGAGCCACCCAGGTGTTCCCTTGACTTACAGAATTTTTCTACACCAAGAACACACAAGTACTTTTTATTAAAGTAGGATCAAACAAAGGCACAGTTTGGCAGCCTGCTTGCTTTTTTTTTTTTTTTTAGCTTAGCAATACTGGATGCTTCCCTCATGCCATCAGCTGTTATTATAGCCATTAGCTATATATTATAAATCTATATCTATACCTTGATTTCTTTTTTTAAAGCTAAATTAATAGCTCATGATTTATCGGTAACAAATTTACATATTGGTCATGGATATCCTAGTTTCACTAAACGTAACACAAATGTACTATTCTCCCTTGCTTTTCATTAAAGAGTTTAAAACCTGCCTTAGAAAAGACCTTTAAGAAATCAGAACTGTTAAACACCGTTCTGCTGACATGCAGAAGCAAGTCCAAATTATAGGTATGACCCTTCTCTGGCCTAAAGGGGCAGGGGGGGCTTTTCCCAAGAAACCTGTGCTCTCCTGCCTCAGCTCCAATATGGCCATGGCCTCAAAAGCAGGGGAAAATATGTTTTACAAAATGGATGTCTAATTGAACATACAGTCTGATTTTTAAAAGTCAAAGATGAAACCAAAATTTTACAGCTCTTAACTCTCAAGGCAATCATAAAAATTTGTATTTCCTAGAACCTGTTTCCAGAAAAGGACATATACAGTCATTAAATATGGCCCAACATTTTGGCTAACAGCACAGGGAAGTGCACAGTGTTGCTATGTGAAAAGAAAGCAGTCTGCCAAACTGTCTCTCTAGTATGAGCCTACTTTAATAATAATTATTTGTGTATATCTTGATGTAGAAAAATTCTATCTCAGTATATGTAATAAGCCTGGTCTTAAAATACTGAATACAGATACTATAAAAATGGATAAAAATAAATTTTATTATCTTTCATTTACCTTTCTTACACATTGCAACATTGATTTTGCCTTTGTGCTGTGCCAGTGTTTTGGGGATGAGGAATTAATTATACTGCTAAACTCTAAAAATTCTCACTTGTTCATAGTTTGATTTCCTTCAACCTTTCTTTATTTCAGGCTTAAGGAATGATACTAAATTATATGAGTAGATGAAGTCCATATATGATGGCTTTCTTTCTGTATAACTTTTGCAAATAGGATCAGAAAATGTTAAGACGCTCCTACATAAAAGAGTTCTCAAGAATCAGCATTATTCATGAAGAAAATGACAGATAAGGGGAACATAACGTAATTTTCAGAGACAAAAAATGTTAAATTACACATTGAAGTCGTTGACAGACTTTATTATTAGGTGTATTGCATAGGGAGAAAACATAAGGAGGAAAGCCTTGGGAATTATGATGTAAAGTAAAGAAACATTAGTTTAAGCAAGTGGCATAAAAAAAACTGAAAGACAGTTGAACTGAATGCCAAATGGGGTTTCCTAGCAGAAAGTCAGTGAAGGCTCAACATCTGATACATTTTCACTTCCTTCTATAGAAGTGTGAGTTCCACTATTAAGATTCATTGCTAGCGGGCTGCCTCGGTGGCTCAGTGGGTTAAGCCTCTGCCTTTGGCTCAGGTCATGATCCCAGGGTCCTGGGATTGAGCCCCGCATCAGGCTCTCTGCTCAGCAGGGAGCCTACTTCCCCCTCTCTCTCTGCTGCTTCTCTGCCTACTTGTGATCTCTCTCTCTCTCTCTGTGTGTCAAATAAATAAATAAAATCTTAAAAAAAAAAAAAAGATTCATTGCTAGCCAGCAGAGAGCAGCCAAATATAAACCCTGCTTGGCTCATAACAACCACTATAATGCAACTCTGTTTAATGAGCATTTACTATGTATTCCAAACACTCTGCTAAGTGATTTGCGTACATCGTTATTTATAATCCTCACAATTCTTATATAAAAGTGAAATGGCTTGGCAACAGTACAGTTGACATATGTTTTGTCATGAAGATGGCTTTGGGGCGTTTTCCTTTCTAACTTAATTATAAATAAGCATAATCAATGAAAGTGCACTGCAATTTCACCTAAGTGTGTTCAGTTGTTTTCAATAATTTGAATTCCATTGTGCACGCATGGGGATGGTCCAAGATGGTGGCAGAGGAAGACCCTGAGCTCATCTCCCACAGACACACCAGATCTACCACTCTCTATGGAATAACTCCCACCTAAAAAGAACTGAAGACTAGCTGAACTGCTTCTTCCACAACAAGGGGAAAATGGCCACATTGAGCCAGGCAGGAAAGGCAGAAAAGCTCACCAGGGGTGCAGCAACTCACAATAGGGAAGGATTCACAGGTTTAGAACTCTCCAGCTTGGGCACCACAACTCTTGGGACCTGCACTAGACAGATGAGGCCCCAAACATGGGGCTTATGTCCAGGGGGCCCAAGGGCTGTGAAGATCTGAGATACTCCTTTTGAGGGGCTCATGCATGGACTCACCCATCTGGGCAAGCAGCACAAAGGCAGCAGTTTGAGAGGTGACTGGATTATATGTGAAGGAGATTCAACTGCTAATCTTAAAGATTCATGGGAATTTTCCTTGTGGATGGAACTGCTGGAGAGTGCCAATTTTCGCACTCTTCCTCTACCTTGCTAGGGAGGCAGGTGCAGGCATACATAACATGGCTAAAACCAAGGCATGTCCCTCCCAGAACGCTCTTCTCCAGCTCTGCTAAAATTGCAGATGCGCCCCACTCCGGATGCTCTTTCCTGGCACAGGCATGTCCCACACCCAACACTCTCCCACCGCCTTGCTAAAACTGGCGGGCAAACTCAGTCCACACAGAGGCCACTCAACTGCCTGGTTCTGGTGGCTGGAGAGGCCTGTGCATCCGGGGTCCATGGGTAACAACTGAAAAGATTGTGCTGAACAGGATACTATATCCTGGGCAATATACAGACAGCAAACTGAAATACAGCCCCAGACTGCACATGGAAAAGACCCATTTGATTGTCCAGAAGCTTTCACCTGAGGGACAAACTTCAGGTTAAAGCCACACATCTAAAGGCTGCAGAAGTACTCTCAGAGGACATAAGCAGGGACACACCACCTGTGCACACCTCTCCCCTGAACTTGGCCTTGCCACAGCTCACTGGTATCTCCCAGAAAGGATCTTTTATACTTGACTGAAGCCCTGATTTTTGGCAACTATCACCCAGGGGATACCTGCAGATCCCCTGGTCTAGAGGTCAGCAGTGTCTAGGATTGTGGTCCCACGGGATTGTATATATTTGCATACTTTAACAGCTGCTGCCTGAGGACCTGGCTTCCAATCTGCCTGGATCTAGGTCCCTCCCTTTGCACAGGACCAAAGCACACCCTCACCAACTGCAACTATCAAGAATAAATCAGGCTGATAATCGCAAAGGGTCTAGCGACAACCAAGAGCTAAGGCAAGGTTGAAACAGACTGCTGATTATCAGAGGGGAAGGGGGTTAGGGTAGGGTGAAAAGAGTGAAGGGGTGGTAATAAGACTTATTGTGGTGATCACTGTGTAATGTATACAAATTTTGAACTACTGTGTTGTACACCTTATATTAATATAATGTTACATACCAACTTTAGCTCAAGTAAACAAATAACTTGAAATTCAGACCACAAATGTAATTCAGTCTTTTACTTTGTATGTCAAAGATTATTAGTTTCAAAAATTTTTCTTATTTTATAAGAAAGGGTATATTGAAAGTATATAGATTCAAAAGATAATTAAGCACTAATTGGTCTTGGCCCCAAAGGAAATGAGTGGGGGAAAAGTCTCAGCTGTTAAAATAAGAAAAAAGTCCAAAAAAAAAAGGAAATGGTGCATGTGGCAAACTTCTTGGAATCATTACACGGGTTAAATTTATTGGAAAAATGTATATATAATACCACCAATTACTATATTATAAGAACTTTATTATTTTTTATTATTATTTGTTTAAGTAGGCTCCATACCTACTATGGAGTCCAATGTGGGGTCTGAACTCACAACCCTGAGACCAAGACCCAGCTGAGATCAAGAGTTGGATACTCAACCAACTGGGTCACCCAGGTTCCTCGAACTTTATTTTTTTAAATGAGTACTCTATCCATGCACAATTATTACCCTATCAGCACTTCTCCCCATCTTATTTGAGATTACATAAGCAGTGTAGCGTCTATGAAATCCTAAGCTGAAATCTTTTAAAGTATAAGGAGAGGACTCTTCTGTTCCTTAGGCCCATGCTCATAGCTGGAGGCACTTACTTTTCTCAAATGAAGGAGTCACAAGCCCACTGGTGCTTGTGTTTGCTACCGGCTCAACGGACGGGCAGTGTGATCCACCATTTCCCATGGAGCAGGAGCAGCAACCTAGGTAGATAAAATAGCACAGGAGAATAAGGCCCAACCACAAGAGAAATGGATAACTTCCAGAGATGCCAAACCAAACCAAACCAGACAACCCACCCCCTCATACACACACACACACACACACACACACACACACACACTTCCCATGCAGCCACAATGGAAACGTGTTCACATGGTGTCTCTCAAGAAGAATTTACATGTGCTTATTTGGAGGTTAACATTTAAAGAACGGCAGGCAAAGGACTGGCTCTTTTACATATTGTCTCCTCATTGCATGACAAGGAAGAGTGTTTCTATCTAGCTGTTTTTATTAGTTACCACTGTGCTTTGACAACTAAGAATTTGAACACTTTGTTCAACTACAGCTTTTACTTCATCACTCCTTAAAAACATGCCCTAGCGCTCTATTGTTTACTATAGTTAATTGAAACTCCTTGGCCTGAATTTGAAAGTTCCTGAGGACTTGGCCCCTCTTTCTCCATCCAACCACCCCCACTATCTAACAAGGCCTTTCCCTTCTTCCCGGACAATTCTTTTTTTTTTTTTTTTTTTTAAGATTTTATTTATCTATTTGACAGACAGAGATCACAAGTAGGCAGAGAGGCAGGCAGAGAGAGGAAGGGAAGCAGGCTCCCTGTTGAACAGAGAGCCCCATGTGGACCTTGATCCCAGGACCCTGGGAACATGACCTGAGCTGAAGGCAGAGGCTTTAGCCCACTGAGCCACCCAGGTGCTCCAATTCCTGGACAATTCTTTAGTGTCCTCCATGAACCCCATGCCTGTTCAGGTCTGCAGACTAGTTAGGCACGCCCACAATTCCCACTCTCGTTAATTCTTTGAAATCTTCTCCTCCTTTATGTTCAGCTCAAGACTTGCTTCTTTCAAGAACGTGTTTCCTACCAGTCTAGAAAATGCAGTCAAAACAATCTTATTCTTTTGTCTTCTCAGACATACACTGCTGAAAATCCCTTGCTGCTTTACAGGCTGATTGGTTTATGGAAGATGCCTTGAGACATCTGCTTTATAGAGCTATAGCTTCTCCTCCACATAGTCAGAGGGCGCATGCAGTAGCCTTTAGTTATTGAAAATTTTATTTATTTACGAGCAGGGGGAGCAGGAGAGGGAGAAGCAGATGTCCCGCTGAGCAGGGGACCTGACCTTAGGACTCTGGGATCATGACCTGAGTGGAAGACAGATGCTTAACCAACTGAGCCACCAGGCACCTCATGCAGTGTCCTTTAAACACAGATATAAGACATGGTGCTCCTTGACATGGATTCTTTTTTTTTTTTTTCTAATGTGGATTCTAATAGAATAACAACTTCAGTGACAAAGTGTATTAAAATCTAATACGCTAGAAAAAGGAATAATGCCTAGGCTGAAATTTTCATTGATAACATGATTTAATTCTTCAGCAGTGTTCTTAACAGAAAAGATTTCAAAGTATAAAAACCACCATCTATAATAAGCTATTAAAAGTGTCTTTCTATATTTAAGATAATGATGCCATCTCAAGGTTAAAATAGAACCACAGAATAATAGAAAAGAAAATACAGAGATCATCTGGCCCAGCCCTCCTATCTTCAGAAGTTTGAAGGCTTAAGGCAGCTAAGATGAAATTGTTCAGAAAACAGACATAAAGCCAGCCCAGTTCAATGACATACATACAGGGCATGCACAGAGCCTGACATGGGACTTGATCTCATGACCCCGAGATCAAGAAAGTTCCCTGAAGCAAAACACTTAGGATATAGGCTATATAGGCACGTAAGAGTGTCTTTTTATGTCGGTATCATACCTGTTTCTGGGATAGAACTTGTAAAAGGTTCTGGTTCGTTTGCTGGCCCTGGACTCTCCTCAAAGGCAGCGTTCCCAGGCTCTGCTGCTTTGTGGTTCTGAGACTGGTCGAACCCTTCATAGCGTCCTGCTTGGGTGGTGCGGTTCATGCACATGAGTGATATGCCAGCTATCACGATGCTACAGAACAGGGTGACTGCTGTGATGACCATCTGCCAGTATGGCAAAGAGACATTAGGCCACTTTGCACAATCCCAGCTTGATCACCTTAGTAGCACAACTTAAGAGAATTTTTGTTTGGTGGGAAAGGCAATCTCTCCACAGCTATAAATGCTCTGGGACAGTGGTTCTCAAAAAGGAGTAAGAATATGAAAGGGAGCAAGTTATTTGAAGAGAAATTAGGATTAACTTGAAGAGAAAATAAGATCTGTAGTGGCTTCTTTCACTCTCCATCAATATCATTGGTTTCCTCTGTAAGCAAGCTAAGTGACTGCTTACAGACCTATTTTATTTCAGTTTTTGCTTGCTTTAATATGGCATTCAAGCATACTTCAACGGGAGACACTGTTATGGTAATAATACTAAACATAAATAATTCTGACTAATACTAATTGCATACTAACATATGCCAGCACTGGTCAAAGTCTTTTATACATGTAATCTTGTTTATTCCCACAGCAACCCAATAAAATTTAAAATTATGAAACAAAAAAGAGGATAAGAAATCAAAATCTCTTGAAGGTTTTTTTTAAGAACAAAAACACACATCCTTGAGGCTAGCCCTAGAGAATTTTGATCAGCAGATACACTATGGCTTCTCAAAAACATTTTTCCCCAGGTATTTATTGTTCTAAAATTTATACTTATAATAGGATTGAAAGTCAAGAACATGGTTTTTATTACTACTGCTGACTTACTAAATAGCTTTAAATTAATCACTCTTTCCTCCAGAAGAGAAAACAGAATTCATAAGTGGGTTTAAGATGACCCAATAAGTTTCAAGCATTTGGAAATCCTCAGCTTAAAATGGATGAAGACCTATAAAATCTTCACCACAGATCAAAGTGTGACTTAACAAAGTGATATAGGATCACTAGTGGGCTATACAATACATTGGAATAGATTTTCAAAATAACTTTAATATAAGTATAGCAAAACACAGGAACAAAGGAAAAAGAGATGTTCACAAGAAAAAAACTGTCAAAAACCTCTTCTTACCTGCTCCTTTCCATAGAAGAAGGCTGAGTCAATGCTATCTCCATTATGTTTTCCAGTTATCAGAAGAACACCAACAAGGAGAGCAGGAATTCTGGCATAAGGTTTAGAGAGAGAATGAGACAATGAATAGTAACTGTGTGCATGGAAACATATAGGCAAACAGAAAACTGTCCACTTACCCCCAGCCAGATATTATGATGATTCCAACAGGAATTTGTACACTCTCTCTCTTTTTCAAAAGAAACAAAGAAATTGCCAGAAGGCCTAAGAACAAGAAACAGAAATTGAAAGGTAGATGGTTACTCTCGATGTTGATCAGACCTCACAGAACTTTAACCAAGCTTATTTCGATGGTAGTTGGGGGTTTAGATCCTAGAATTTACTCTTTCTAAATAAATACTGGCCTCAATATTTTGAAGCATGTTTGTCTCATAATCATTCGTGTTTTCCTTCCTGTATTATTTCTTTACGCAAATCTTCTTGTTTTATATATGAGGAAGTTTTCAAAAGCTCAAATCAGTTTATTCTTTTGACTGGTGTTCGGAATTTATATATTTGTTAAAAAAATTTTTAACTGGATACAGAGCAAGTCTAAAAATAAAAACACCCTCACTCTGCCGGTGCTAAGAAAGTATAGGCAATTCTTACCCTGGTTCAGTTTTTGGAAAATGCCCCAAGTCTAAATGATAGACCTTAATAAAAATATAATGTGAACTTAATACAAAAATAAATGTTTTAAAACTCTTGAGCATTCCTTTCATCTTAAATCCAATTATTTATACAAGTAACATCCTTTTCCATAAATTCTATGTAGTTGTAGAATCTTAGAGCTTCAGAGTTGGAAGGGATCATTGTTTGAAATGAACACCTTCATTTTATAGATATGGACACAAGGGTTTGCCCAAGCCACATAGCCAGCAGAGGGCAGAGCAGGACTACAAACTCTATCAGTGTTTCTAAAACTCGTCCACGGACCCCTAGGGTTCTTAAGACATATTCTGCAGGATTTAGACATTTCTGTGAGAAATTTTAAGTCTCTTTGGTATATTTTCAATGATAATCATCTAAGATGCCCATCTTATAACCATAGCACTGTCTCATAATCTCAGAGCCAGCATCTGATTAAACGGTAAATTTGAGCCAAGTGAAGGCCAACTATAACAACACATGATCCCAGCGAAGGTTCTATGGTAGTCTGAAGAGAGAAACGCAGTGAGATGAACCAGGTCATAAGCCCACACATGAAAGTAAAGGCAAACCATGCTAAAAAAAAAAAAAATTTTTTTTTTTTAAATCCTAACCAGAGGAATGAGTTCCATTTTGCATTTCAAGTTGTGATTCAGATTAGCAAAACAAGATCCTTTGTCATGTCATGAATGTTGCCAATTAGAATTACCGAGTTTGTAATTGGGACTCTCATCTGTGAATCTGCTTCGGTTTTAAAGTTGTTTATTAGCTGTATATATGGAATTCATACCCAGACCCAAGACCATACAGATTAAGTAACACTGTGCTAGAATAATACAAATGAACACCGAGGCTCTTGCAAATTGTTTTTCTTACAGAGAACCCGCAAGTTCAGGAGGTACTCTAATGCCACTGCTCCTTCCTAAATACATTTGTGCCTTCTATAGTTCTAGGTTTTCAACAAGGTACCCAACAGTGTGCTATTATGGAAGTGAGAGCATTCTTCAAAGTCCCAAAGGTCATCATTCTTGTCTTATGCAAAGACTGGTCTACAAACAGGCCCAGGCTGGTCCTGGATCTCTCCCAGGTTGCCGGCAGAAGCTGTGAGAGTTCCTACCTGAATAGGTTAAACATTTTGGGCCTCACTGAACTCATTTGAAAAATAAAGGACTTACACTATACTAGTATTTCCAAAGCATAAGAGACTATACAAAATTTTTGGACTAGTTTTGTGTTTATTTTAACACGTATGTGAAAAACTAGCACAGGAAACCTGGGATTTTATTATTATAAGGTTCAATTTATTTAAGTAAAAAAAGTGAGTAAATTTTTAGGGAAAAATAAAAAAAAGGACAAGTGGCATGCAGATGCAGCAAAAATTGTAAAGATGGTCGGCAAATGGGTGAAACTGAAAAGGGCTGAACAGGATGATTTAAAACGACACTTTAGGTCTAAAATTCTGTTCTAGCCTAATAATCTCTCAGTTGAAGAGCACCTTCACTGGGATCCAGGAATTCAGAACAAGGTCTCTAGATAGATTTTGGCATGTATGCTTAAAGAGGATTTCACAGACAGATTTGGGGATTTCTGATACAATGATCTATTTGCTGCTCTCCTATTCACATGGTAAACTTCGCCTTAAGAAATCTAAGTATTAGAGATCAAGTTGCCCAACTGTATTTGGGAATAAAAGTCTTTAGGCTCTTTTACTTGACATCTCCTGAAAACTCTTACGTTACACAAGATATGTCACCAGCTAGATCCCAAGACCTGGCCTTTATTGCTTATCTGCTTGTACAAACACACATCTGCCCCATGTTTTTCCTTGAGTTCTTCTTTCCAGCTTAACTCAGGCAAAGGACCCCTTGGGCATAACAACACGTGATGCAAACCGAACCGAGCCCTCAAGCAATGGAGGAAGCAACAGGTGGTGGAGGCCACCCAGACCAGGTAGAGCAAAACCCCCATCTTGCACCTGTGCAGGTGGACCACAAGGGACCTCTGGAATGACCAACAATTACCTTTAACCTCCTAGCAATAAAACCTCCACGGAAGGAGGAGCACAAGCCTCATGTACACAACATACGATACAGTGCACCTCTCCTTAGGGTGCACGTGCGACCTGATGCCCACCTTGACACATATGATGACAAGACTGCCCTCCCTGAATATTCACCCTAACCCTAGACAAAAGGAACCCAGTCACCCTTGCTCGGGGAGCCATAGCTTTGGAAGTTATTCCCCACAATCTCCTCATTTGCTGCAAATAGTTTCCTTTGTGTAACAACTCACCTGGTTTAGCTTCAACCTGGGAGTCGCCAAGGAGCGAGCTCACGGTGGTTTGGTTACAGCTGTTTGCTTTTCAAAACCACACATCTTCTGTTTGCACTGAAGTTTTCATTCCAGAACTCCTCACCACATTGTTGCTTCACTTCAAAAGGCTATTGACTTAGATGAGCCCTGCTTTTGATCTCGAAGGCATGAAATCAAAGGCTTGTCCCTCGAAGCCACTTCCTGACACCTGCCTCCTCACAGTGGCTCCAACCAGCCCTACCATGTTACAATTTCCTTTTCTGTGCCATTGTATCAGTTCACATTTGTGGTATGGATACAAAACAGCCACCCAGAATGTTTTGCAAACATACCAGAATGTACGCATCCAAATTAAACACTATACTTCAAAAAGGCAATATGCTAAAGTGTTTTACTATTTTTTTGGGAGCCATTTGAAATGAGAAATAGTCTCTCTTACTATATACTCTTGTATTTCCATACCCTTTTATTCCTTACTTTTCTTGTTCTCCTATAGCCACTTTCCCTGTTGTTTAATAATATAGTTCTTGTTGTTGGCTGCCTACCACATACCAGGCGTAAATACCCATATCTCATTTAGTTTTCAAATAACTCTGTAAGGTGCAAAAACCCAATGTCACAGATGAGGAAACTGAGATTGCAAAATTAAGCTATCTGCTGAAGGCAGGATCAGATTTTTCACTCAGTTTGGTTGGACTCTGATAGTGAGCTCTGGGACATACCTCATGGGCCTCACACTCCTCTGACATTCTCTTCCTCCTTTCTCCACTTGCCCCTAGTACCTGATCTCTTGCTGCTTCCAAAAGGGAGCTCTGCTGACTGTGGCCAAGAGCCAAAGATCCCGAGGAAAAAGACCACGTGACTGGAAACCCCCAGCATCCAAAGCAGAAATGAGGTCCTATTTCTCTATACCATGGAAACGGAACTTGGCTTCACACACTGCCTATGCTAGTGAGCACAATGGCCTGAGACAATGCATTAGTCCTGGATTACTAGACTTCAGATAGCTTCTCCTGATGGAAGACCTAAATTTGCATTCACGATCCATCTTACCTGTCCACAGGTAGGTGCTATACAGGGAGCTGTACAATAAAACAAACACCAGAATCTGTCCAACAAAATTTTTTTCTTTAACGAAATTCCATATCATCATTCCAGCACAGACAATAGACTGCAGAAAAAATTATGAACAAAGTCAGTCATAGTCATGTCAGTCAGACAAATGTTTTATTCACAGCAAATTTATTATAATTATTCATTTTAAAGCACTGCTGAATAATTATCATGCTAGTTATACTAAAACTTCAAGTTTTATGATAAAAACCCTTCTTATGGTCTTTAGCAGTGTACATAATTGAAACAAACATTCTAAATACTAACCTTATATTTAGTAATTGTTTACATAAAAAATGTTAAACGTCTTTGTTTTATAATTTGAGTCATGCAAAGACTTGACTAGAAGAATAAGATCCTGAGAGAGTTCAATTTTTAATGATTATTTCTATTCAAAGTGTAAAATTATCACCAAATGCCATTATTAGCCTCAACTTTATATAGTTCAAGACATATTGTGGTATATAAGTTAGGGATAAATTAATTGTGATCAGTTGTAATTAACTGCAATTGGTAAAAAGTACTTTCGACTTCATAACTGGAAAAACCCAGCCAAATAATTTTCTTCTTTATAGTAGAATAATCAGTGAAAAAAGCATAGTTCTAAGTATCTGTATGTCTACTAACCTGTGCGATGAGTAAATTAGTTGTAAGCATATGTGGGAGCTGTTTGTATTTCTTACTCAAAAGAAGAATAGCCAGAGACCAGATCTTAAAGACAAAAGGTTCAAAGTTATTCAGGTTTCTTAACCTTTGGACTACTTATCAAATAACTCATTGATTGGCTTCTTTAGAGCACTCTCTTTATCTTGGTTCAGAAAGAAATTCCAATATTTTATTTACTTTAATCTGCCTAGTTCCCCAAAGAATATTAAGGTAAATTACCATACCCAAAGTAAAAAAAAAAAAAAATTTAAAGATTTTATTTATTTATTTGACAGACAGAGATCACAAGTAGGCAGAGAGGCAGCAGACAGAGAGGAGGAAGCAGGCTCCCTGCTGAGCTGAGAGCCCAATGCAGGGCTCCATCCCAGGACCCTGCAGTCATGACCTGAGCCGAAGGGAGAGGCTTAACCCACTGAGCCACCCAGGTGTAAAACCCCCCAAAGTAAAATTAATAGCATGGAGATGCGATAACATGGATGGACCCGCTAGTGGGCCCATCATGCTAAGTGAAATAATAAGTCAGACAGAGAAACACAAATACTATACCATTTCACTTCTGTGTGGAATCCGAATAACAAACCAAATGAACAAACAAAACAAAACAGACATAGACTTATAGATACAGCAAACTGCTGGTCACCAGAGGCGGGAGGAGCAGGGTGGCAGGTGAACAGGGGAGGCGGACTGAGAAGTACAATTATAAGTAAGTCCTGGGGATGCAATATACAGCATAGGGAACATGGTCAATAACATTATAATAACTTCGAACAGTGACAACGGTACCTGGGCTTATCATGGGGATCATTTCATAATGTATAAAAGTATCGGATCACCATGATGTATTCCTGAAACTAATTATATGTCATTTATATTTTGGGGAAAACAAAGCATGGAGAGATCCTATTGAAAATTAACTGTTCAAAAATGACAGGGTCAGAATGCCTAGGTGGCTCAGTCGGTTAAGCATCTGCCTTCAGTTTAGGTCATGATCCTGGGATCATGGTCCTGGGATGGAGCCCTGCATCAGGCTCCTTGATCAGCAGGGAGCCTGCTTCTCCCTCTCCCTCTGCCTGCCGCTCCCTGTGCTTGTGCACGCTCTCTAGCTCTCTCTTTGACAAATAAATAAATAAAATCTTTTTTTAAAAACGACAGGGTCTTTAAGAACTAATGCCCTGACCAAGGTCATGTTCTAACTTCCCCCACCTTGGGTGGCTGGGTAGGACACAGGCTCACAGCCAGCTATTCAGGAAAAGATCTTTCATGGGAGATGCAGTTACTGCACTCTTCTAATTTTGATTCCACCATTGCCTCATGAGGTATCCAAATTCCAGGCAGTCTGACTTCAAACAAAGCATACAGCCCACCTTGAGACGAACTATCTTGCATTCTTCATATATATAAGGATTGGGTTTCTATTCTCCCTCTAAAGTGGCCAGCTACGTATGCTGGTTGATTTCCTTCTTTCTTCTCCCCTCCCTATCAATCAAAATTCATATCATCCCTCTCCCTAGACTGTCCTCTTGTCGAAGAGCACAGATTTTAAGAATATGTAACAGAAGTGAAATTTCCTAGAAATTACATTAATAACACATTTACTTGTTGTCCACACACATGTTCACCCCTACCTCCTTCTTTTAACAGTAAAAGCTGTTTTTTCCCCAGCCAGAATGCTGCTTGAATTCCATAAGCAACTTGAGCTACAACTCCAGTTGTTAGATGTTTTAGTATTTAATTTGAACTAGATTTATCCAGAAAGCTTCGTTGTCATTAAATGGGTGGTCAGACAATCCCTTCCAACCCCATGATTCTACAATTAGCTAATACCAATAGTATTCGTAGAGTGATCTGCCATTTGCAGATGCTTTTCACATGCATTGTCATATGCGATCCTTAAAAGAACCCATGGAAATAGGTAAAATTAGTATCTCTATTTCCTCACTGAGAAAACTGCAGCTTAGAAAGGCTGAGATATACGCCTAGTCGGTGATAGGGCCAAAAGCCAGTGCAGGTCTGACTAAATCTCACGCCTCATCTGCTACACGACTCTAACTCTCAAAAGGAAAGACACAACTCAGAAGGCTGATATCACATTTTACGGGCAGGTTTTAGTTTTCTCTATTGCATAAGAGATTTTTTAAAACAGATTTTTAAATCCTAACTTTCTGTTACCAAGCTATTTTCAAACTCATTCTGCGGTTTTCATTCATATTTACAGTGAAATGTACTTACCAAGGAGACAAGGCTGATAATACTTATATCAAAACTAACATTCTGGATGGCATATGCCAATGGCTTAGGGTCCATTGTAGGAAAGGTTAGTAACCAGGCAGAAACGTACATGATTGGCGCAGACACAAATGTGCTTATTACCATCCCTGAGGTTATCTGCAAAAAATGAAATCAAATTGAGAGAAAGGTCATAGTCTCAATAAAACAATGACCCTACATTTTAAATAGTCACAGCACACCAAGGCTTCTAAAATAAAAGCAAGAGTCACTAAAAAGACATCATACATTCCAGCATGTTCTCAAATACTATATCCCCCTTTCTGAGAGTCCTTAAACAAAAACACAGTTAAGTTCCTTTGGCTCCTCTTCCACTCTATGCTCAATTAATATTCACACATAACCAGAATTAGACACCCCAAGCTGATGATTATCTTCTGGGTTCTAGAAAGTAAAACCGTATTAATGATCTAATTAAACTGATGACCAGTTTCCTTCCACACTATTTCATAAAATATAGGGCAATAAAATCAATTTTTAAAAAATTACCAGGTAAACATTTTACAGATTAAATAATGGAACTAACCTTTGTTAAACAGTTTAGTTCCTTCAGGTTATATTTTGAAAACATTTAGTGCTATAGATAACATATGCTTAGACACTGTTAATAATTCGGTGTTAATTGATTTTAGCTATTTACTGCAACTGATTATGTGGTGTTTTGCATCTGGTGAATTAACAGTGAATGAAACAGATTTTTTTTACCCAAATTTCAAAAGTTACCATACTACAAATAACCTTTAGGCTTCAGCAGAAGTGCAACAATAAAATATTTAAAACTAAAAAAGACTAATGAAAAAAGTTATGGCCGAGAAAAGACCCCAGATTAAGTAACTCTATTACCTGAAGTTACCTGATGCCTCCTTATTTACAATGAAGTAGCTTTCACATATCAAATTCTCATAAAAGAAGGCTGATCTCTCTGCTTTAAAAATTCATTTTTCTGCTAACTGTACAATTAAACTTAGAAGGTAGCATATACGTACAATCTCTACTTCCATGTTGAACTGTGTTGCAAAGATAGCCACTCCTGGTGCTACAGGAAAGACACCATACAAAAATGCATAATTTGATAAACTTGTATGGTTCACTACACTGTCGCCCTTGTCCAAGAGTTCCACCATTTCTCTGCACAGAAGTGGGAGCACCAGGCTGAAAAAACAAGAAATGTGTCATTCACTCGATCTCAAAGTACACTGGTCCCTAAGGAGGTGATTATTTCAGTGAACTTGGCATTAGGTTATTCTTCTCCTGCCCAAAAGGTCTATCTATTTGCATGCACATATTCTCTACATGCCTACTTGTGAACATTTTGAAAGAATCAAGAATTCAACTTGGAGCCACTTAGGTGTAACAGTATTCTAAAAAATGTTTTCAACATCAGGGATTAGGAGGAAAAAAACCCTCAGCTTTGGTTCCACAAATAATTTTCTCTCCAAAAATTTTTAAAAGTTGTAACTGTAGCTGCCGTTTCTTGTTTCCTCTACCAGAAAACTGAGATGTTAAAAGAAAAAAAAAGATTGATAATCTAAGCAAACTTTTTTCAAGAAAATTACTAAACTTCTTTTTGGAAAGAACCCCTGGTCTTTATTATGATTTGGGGTTTAAATGGTTCACCTGTTGATAACAGTGTGGCTCATTTAGATTCTGAAAGCCAATAGAAAAATAGGCATCTTACAATTACCTCTTCATCACTGTGAAGACAAAAGGGTTGGGCAGAGGGAACTGAAACAGCTAAGGTACAGCAGAAAAGTAGTGAAATCCAGACCTGGTGGAGAGTCAGTTATTAAACAAATCCTTTAGGATTCCATAGAAAGAGAATATAAAGGAAGCCGAGCTAATGAAGCTGTCCTCTAAAAAGAACGAGGCCGGGATTGATAACATTGTCATAGTAGGACCTATGCTCTAGTACAGAATACAAAACTGCTCTTACATGTACTTTTTAATTTAAAAAATAGACAAAAATATCTAATAGGGATCAAAGACCCACAAAAAAAGTTTTTATTTTTATTTTTTTTAGGAAAAAAGATTTTTTTCAATGAGAATATTTAAATATTACTTGTAAGTTGAAGTTGACAATACTATTAACATTAGAACCAGGGGTGCCTGGGTGGCTCAGTGGGTTAAGCCCTTGCCTTTGGCTCTGGTCGTGATCTCGGGTCCTAGGATTGAGTCCCACCCACATCGGGCTCTCTGCTCAGCAGGGAACCTGCTTCCCCCTTTCTCTCCGCCTGCCTCTTTGCCTACTTGTGATCTCTGTCTGTCAAATAAATAAATAAAATCTTAAAAAAAAAAACCCAAACAAACATTAGAACCATATTTATGCCTGCAGCAATACTAATTAATACTTCATTAAAAAAATTAATACTTTGTTTCCAAGGAACATAATGCCACACCATAAATAATTTTCAAAAGTTATATTCATTTTTATTATTTTGGGAAAATATAGACCCTATCTCATATTGCACTGCTTTTGTGAATTTAACAGTCTACACAAGGCTAATTTCAACAGTTAAGTATGCCCAAAGTGCCTTGGGGTAGTGTCACAGTAAAATTATGTCCCCTTCACCATGAAGTACAACTCTGTGGCTAATGAACTAAGTAAGCTGAAGAACTGTTAACTAAGGAACTGATATAAACTTTATTTGATAAGCTAGGATCAGATAGTTGAGAATAATCATTTGTATGGACTTCCCTATTTAGAAAGTTCAACCACCCACAGAATTATAGAATATTTTCCCCAAACTCATGAAAACAAGCTTGCACTCAAAATTATTGTTTTCATCATAACCAACAGGGCTTTAAAAGATTGGAAAACTCAGAAATCCTGTAAAATTTCCTTTAAAAATATGATCAAACTGGGACATTAGGAGATACTAAGTAAGATTATAAAAAAGTTAAAGGAAAACCAATAGTCTTTATCTTCTGGCAGTAAAATGGAAAGAATAACTTACACAGAATAAGGAAGTAACTTTCCACAATATACCAACACCACATTTTCCTTTAAATGACAGATACTCAGAAAGGAGTATTACTATCAGATTATTTAGGGGGGAAAACAGTTGCAAAAACATCTCAGGAACTGGCTAAACAAGGCTTTCACAAAGTACAGTCCCCAAGTTAAAGAAATGGAACTTACAGTTTAGCTGTGATGAGAAGAATTAGTACAACAAATGCTGACTTCTTCAGTTTCTTTATTTTCCCCACCATTGTAAGACCAAGGTAAAATAGAGCTGCTCCCGAGAAAGAATTTGCAAGTCCATCAAGAAAATTTTCCATATATATGGGCACCTTTTGATCAAGAATAAAATTGAAGGCAATGCCAATGAAAACCATAAATACTATTGGGTTCTGTAACACACGCAGAAGTCCAAGTCCCACAATTTTCACTTTGTTTTGAGAAGCATTTTGAGTGTCTTTCCACTTCTGGATTTCACAGAAGATAAATCCTATAGGGTTCAACATCATAAGAGATATTGGTGCCACCAAGTAAATGTACTGGAGATATTCTGGGTATGTGGTTTGATACAAAGCTTCAACTGCAAAACACGAATGAAAATTGCTTTTAAAATGATTACCACAGAAATGCAGTAATATATTATGTAGATAATGTTTTCCATGCTTACTTATAACATATTGTAAATTAATATAAGTAGTGCACAATGACCTCATTAGCCTACTTTGGAAAAGTAAATTTTAGTAATAAAGCTTACAAGGAAGAAGAACACACTATATTAAATGATATTTAGCCTATGAAATGATGATCAACTTTAAAAAATTATTGTTAGTGAGGGGTGCCTGGGTGGCTCAGTCAGTTAAGCATCTGACTTTGGCTCAGGTCATGATCTCAGGGTCCTAGGGGATTGAGCCCCTTGGCAGGATCTCTGCTCAGTGGGGAGTCTGCTTCTCCCTCTGTTCCTCCTCCCTCCCCTCTCTCCCTCTCTCTCAAATAAATAAATAAAATCTTTAACAAAATTACTGTTCATGAGACCCACTAATTTTTACTATGTAGAGGCTAAGACTAGTCTCAAAAAAAGGGCAGAATTGTAGAATCCTTAAAAAAAATTCCAAACACAAATCTAGTAAGGAATTAAACATTTAAGTAGTAATAGCAACAAGGTGATTTGATTCCCTTGAGAGAGGTTTCAACTGGAGTGGGGAACCGAAGCCAGGCTACAGAGGGTGGGAGAGAGAGTAGGAGACAATGAAAGAAATAATGGGCACTGAAGCGATAGAGTCCAAGCTATCATGGAAAAGAAGCAAAGATGGCAGGTGGCTCTCAGACAAAATGCAGAGGAGTCAGACACTGGAGGGCCCTCCGAAGTCCAAAAATGGTGAGTAGTTGGAAGGTCAGGAGTTCAGAGTAAGTCAGATAGTTGAGCTACTGCTCTTAATATGTCCCAAGTGCCTAGGTCCAGGATGTGCCATGGGAGTTGGTGGCTGAAAGGGAGTAGAGGAAACATCACTGGAGTTGGAGAAGTCAGGGACTGAGAAGGGAGAGGATTTAATGGGTAGTACACATGGATGCTAACATCAAACCAGATAATGGCAGGGGCACCTGGGTGGCTTAGTCAGTTAAGCATCTGCCTTTGGCTCAGGTCATGATCCCAGGGTCCTGGGATCAAGCCCCATGTCAGGCTCCCTGCTTAGTGGGGAGCCTCTTCTCCCTCTCACTGCCACTCCCCCTGCTTATACTCTCTCTCTGTGTGTGTCAAATAAATGAATAAAATCTTTTTTAAAAAAAGATAATGGCAAGACTTGGTAGTTGAGAAGACAATGAGCCAGATATTAAAGTCCTCACTAAAGGAGGAGGAATGATCAGAATGAGGTCACCAGATGAGAGCAATGAGGATGAACAGACTAGGTAGGCCCTATGAAACCCAAAGAAGCAGTTCCTATGGAAGAGCAGAGAATAAGGGCCTAGCAGAGGTACGAGGTGTCTATGAGGATGCCAGCTCTGTCTGCATGTAGGTTGCAGGTGAAGAGAAAATAAGCAGCCTCCATTTGAGAGGAATGAAAAGGAATGAACGCTTTCAGGAAGACCCAGGGAAGATGCCGAAGAATTAGGAATGAAAAGGTGAATCTAAGGAAGGTTCAGGAGGGGAATACAGTGGAGTCATGTGAGTACACATTTAACGAACACAAATTCAACTACGCTCTCTTTTTTCCCCCACAAGGCATGTTCCCAAACACAAACTAAATACATCACTTGTTCATTGAGGAAAAACAATGCTAGAGAAAAAAAATCTGGCTGTGTTAGACTTATGAGAAATGGAACAATGTACACAAAGTATGTGTTTTGTATTTTGTGGGCGATTTAAGGGATTTTTCAAGGATGTGACGCAACATGATAACTTTAGAACCTAAACAGTGCATAAAATGAGTCTCCCTGCAAGAGGCTAGGTGGGTTGGACTAGATTTCTAGCTGTTTGTTGTTGGACTGACAGTTGGTGGCTTGGTCTTGAGTTGATCAGAGCAACTTAGACCCTTGGAGTAAGCAACCTGGTCTCCAGGCACATTTTTGGCAATGAGTTCCAAAATTCAAGCTAATATGTATAAAGGATGATTCATAGATAATTGGAGGCTGAGAAAGATTAACAACAACAAAAAAGAACAGCCACAATCACTTGCTAAGACAGAGGCAATCATGTGAAAAAAATGTAAAAGATTAGATTTCTCAATTTACATTAAGATAAAGTTACACAGGTAGGAAAATATATTTGTTTACTTACTCAGGATACATAAGTTCAGTTAATGTCATGCACATGTCTGGTACAGTTATGTAACTAGATTATATAACCTTTGGAAGTCTACCTGGTTCTCATTAGCTAAAACCTACTTTTGTGTAGGATTCCATTCCCTTTTTTTTCAGCTAAGCACATACTGGGGTCTATAATACCCCTGAAACGAAGCAGAGGCTAAACAAAACATATTTGATTATACAAAATTTCACAAATTCTTCCTATTGATTTCCAACCTAGATATACAAGTTCTATATCTCTTAGTGGTTTTCTTTCATGCTTCATAAAGTTTCAACTTTTAAGTAAAAAAAAAAAAAAAAAAAAAAAAAGGCGTCACTTTTGATAACTATTTCTAGACCCGTCCACTCCTTCTAAACAGATATTCCATCTCTAAGAGAAAATCTCAAGTTTTAAAATAGAGAGTACACTTTGGAAAAGCCTTATGTTTTCGATCTGAGTTCAGGAATTTTCCCAAGTGGCCAAAATAAAATGCATGAGGTGTTTGCTCTGACAACCTTCAGCAGACAAAGCCCCTTAGGTTAATGCTTTTCTCCAGAAATCTACTCTCTCCGCACTCCAGCACTTCATCACCATCTGATAATGGACCTTAGATTGTTTTAAAAGCTCAATGCAAATTTGAGCAGCAGTTTTTTATTATCTAAAGCTAACCAACCACTAGGTCCAACCACTAAGTCCATTCTTCTTTCGCTGGATCTTTTCTATTTTCTCCTCTTGAGCCACTAGTCAAAAATCTCAAAATTGGATTAATGTGTTTACTAACTTATATCTTTTTGGTTTTTCTCGACCACTCCCTTGATCCATTTTATTCACTGCTGACAATATCCTCTAAATCTTAACTTTCAAAACGTAATGATTTTCCCACAATTCTTACCTCCCAAAGAACAAGTCAACATGCTGATCATCATTCCCCAACTACTTGAAGTCTCTCTTTCCTTACCTAAATCTTGCCTACAGTTTAAGGCCTGTCTCAGGTACCAATGCTTCCCCCTGGTCTTCAGTCTCTGTGCTGGACCTCCTCTCCTCTAGATGGCTCTGGCTTCTTTTGTTTCCTATTAGTGCCCTTTCATCCCATTCTGACCATCCTTGATGGCATCACTTCAGAGCCCTCAGGCCCCAGCACAGGGCTGAGCAAATCTGTAAATACTTGCAGAATGCAATTAGCACATCAATGAATGCCAAAGTTTTCAAAGTAAAAATGTATTTTGTAACACAGAGGATCAATATCTAATTGTTCTTTTTTAGACCTGTTTCTTTTTATACCCATTTTTTTCTCTTTTCACACACTGAATATTTATAAAGCAGGTTACTAGCAGCACATTTTGAGTCAGCTGAACAGGTATATGGAGGTAAAAAAGGCACAATCTAAAGGGAGAGCAAAAATTGGGAATAAATAAATATTTGTCAAATCACGAGAAGAACAGGGCTCAACATGGAAATTTCAGTCCACTTCTGCCATTCGTTTGCATAATTGAAGTTACATATTTATCTGTGAATTGGCATTGCTTCTATTACCAATCAAAAGATGGCTTTTTAAATTGACATATATGAAAGCAGTGACCTATATCAACAAATTAGATTTATAATGATTATGTCAACCATTAAGTTATAATTAATTAACGCTTACAAATAAAGCTCTTGGGGGGAGGAGAGAATCCTACTATGAAGAACTAAAAGACAAAATTAGCTACCCACTGGGGCTCCTATTTTGATTCCTGCCGGGCTTCAATCCCTAGCAAACAACACAAAGTCCCAGACAAGATCATTCTATTATTTGATGGCATATAGTTAAATGCTTCATTTCCTTTCTGTTTACAGCTCAAGCACTAGAGCATAATTATGATTAGTTGGGGTACTTATGCTATCAGCATTGTTTGAAGAATAAATTATAGGACTTAACTATGCCTTATTAGTATCTTTTAATGACAGAGGTAGGGAATGATTCTGTTTTGCTGAAATCAACATTTCACCTTGGTAGATTCTTGGTTTCTTCTTAAACTCATAATTCTTAAAGTACCTTTGAAAAGAATTGTTCTAAAAAATAGCGAGCTTCTCTATTAGTCTGATAAATGCACTGTAGCCTTCTGTCACTTGAATATAGATAAATCATTTGAATATAATTTCATAGGCTTATAGTTGGCATAAAATAGCATAAAAAAGGAAACATGAATGTCCTTTCTCTTTATTCATTAGCTTATCTTCTGATCCTTCTCCTGAGTCACCTGTAAATTGGACTGATACTGTGGAACAAAAGCAGTTTTAAAAAGGACATTTCTCAAAAAAAAAAAAAAAAGGACATTTCTCATAAGATATGATGTTTATCTGTTAACAAAAGAGTGGAAATTCCTGGGAGACATCACACAACAAACAGAAAGTGTCTTCTCTCCAGAGATACAGTCTTCTCCCTTCATCCCAAGAATGCCCAGAAAGCAGATGGGAAAGGGCAGCAATAATCAATCAGCTCCTCGAAGCAGATACACAGCCCTACAGCTCTGTACCACCCCTTCCAATCTGCAGACACATGAGAAAGCACTTTTGTGTATACTATCGGTTTCTGGTAATGTTATTGTCTACAACCTAATGTAACAAGAGCTCTTACATTATTTGTAATTTTTTTTTTTACTTTATTTTTTTAAAGAAATAGTTTCTTTCTTTGAAAGATTTTATTTATTTGACAGAAAGAGACCCAGCGCGAGAGAGAACACAGGCAGGGGGAGTGAGAGAGGGAGAAGCAGGCTTCCTGCCGAGCAGGCAGCCGGATGTGGGGTTGAATCCCAGGACCCCAGGATCATGACCTGAGTCAAAAGCAGATGCTCAACAACTGAGCCACCCAGGTGCCCCCATTATTTGTAGTTTAAAACCAAAAAATGACAACTCAAATTTTACCAGGATAATCATCAGGGAAATTGGACTAGCATACTGCTGGGAACATGATTATTACCAAACTCAGTGATCCAATGTGGGACATAAGGAAAACAGTGATGAAGATAGCTGACTACATTTTTGATTTGGAGATTCTGCCTTAACATGAAAATGCTCATCTAGGGGCGCCTGGGTGGCTCAGTGGGTTAAAGCCTCTGTCTTCGGCTCAGGTCATGATCTCAGGGTTCTGGGATCGAGCCCCGCATCGGGCTCTCTGATCAGTGGGGAGCCTGCTTCCTCCTCTCTCTCTGCCTACCTCTCTGCTTACTTGTGATCTCTGTCAAGTAAATAAATAAAATCTTAAAAAAAAAAAAAAAAGAAAGAAAATACTCATCTAATTGGTCTTTTCCACTGCCACTCATTTCATGGAATACCTTTAGAATAATATAAAGAGGGGCACCTAGGTGGCTCAGTGGGTTAAAGCCTCTGCCTTCAGCTCAGGTCATGATCCCAGGGTCCTGGGACTGAGCCCCGCATCAGGCTCTCTCCTCAGCGGGGAACCTGTTTCCTCCTCTCTCTTTGCCTGCCTCTCTGTCTACTTGTGATCTCTGTCAAATAAATAAATAAAATCTTTAAAAAAATACAATAATATAAAGATAAAGAAAGTCTTTTATTCTCTCTGATATTAATGGGTTACAGGCTAGTTAGGTCTTCTAAAGATTAAACAGGCATGTTACATAACTGCGTGGCATAAGAGAATGCCTAGGATTTAGAGCCAAAAGACCTAAGGTTTGGATCTCAGTCACATTAGCTGTGTGACCTGGGAGAGACAATGAAATCTCTCTAAATCAGTCTCCTTATTTGAAAATGAGGATTAAAAATATCTGCCCTACCTCAGGTAAGTATATAAGAAAATATAAAGTTACAGGGATGCCTGGGTGGCTCAGTTGGTTAAGCCACTCCTTCGGCTCAGGTCACGATCCTGGGGTCCTGGGATCAAGTTCCGCATCGGGCTTCTTGCTCGGCAGGGAGCCTGCTTCCTCCTCTCTCTCTGCCTGCCTCTCTGCCTGCTTGTGTGTACTCTCTCTCTCTGACAAATAAATAAAATCTTTAAAAAAAAAAAAGTTACAAATGTTAGTTCTGTTTAGTTGTGGATTTACTAGTCTATGAGAACATGAAACTATAGATAGTTTATGCCTAAATTAAGATAATGTAATATTTGTTACTTAACACTATGATACTGAGCCATTTATAAGGTCTTTATGCCACAAATACCTCAAGTTTATATTATTTAATGCTCCTGAGGAGATGGACTTTTATTTTATTTCCAAAGTGTTTTATTTCCAAAGTCTTTATTTAAATCCTTGGTTTAGGAGCACCTGGGTGGCTCATTTGTTAAGTGTCTGCCTTTGGTTCAGGTCATGATCTCAGGGTCCTGGGATCCACCCCTGCATTGGGCTCCCTGCTCTGCGGGGAAGCCTGCTTCTCCCTCTCCCTCTGTCACTCCCCCTGCTTGTGTTCCTGCTCTTGCTGTGTCTTGCTCTGTCAAATAAATAAATAAAATCTTTAAAAATAAAATAAATGCTTGGTTTATCCTAATTTTAAAATTCAATAACCTTAAAGGAACACCTTTATAGCTACTATTTATAGCTTAGTCATCTAGGAGCCCAGATTTTCCTCGCTCATAAACCTGCTTTACTCAGAGTTATTTAATTTCTAAGATTTAGCTCCATTTCTGGTAAGCAAGAGGGAGGAGGTCAAAGGAAGGGAAAAAGGAAAAGTATACCCAGTAGAATCTTTTTGGTGCCAGAGGTGAAATAATTAACAGTTTGGGTTGGGGGAGAGTTTTAAAACTACTGAATAAGGAATCTGAAAGTTAATGGTAGTTTTCATTTGTCCACTTCGATAAATTTCTTTCAGTCTCTGCTCAGAAGATATACCATCAGAGAAGCTTTTATTGACCCCCTATATCAAATAGAACCTCCTCATTCCCAGCCCTTTATACTACTTTATTTTTATGGTCCTTGTCATTACCTGATATTATTTTAATTTTAATTTTATTTTCACATTAAAATGTAAGTTTAATATGTATGAGGACTTTGTTGTAGTTCCAGCAGCTAGCACAATCTTGGGTACGTAACAGTCCCTGTGAAGGTGTGAATGAATGTATGACTACATCCGTTAATATTCAGGTCCTCACACCATGACACATGGCCAAAGCATAACATAAACTGTAATTTAAAAATAAAAATATAAAAAGTAGCTACTAAGTAGTTAGTACTTAGGGTGTTCTGGAAAAAAGAATATGTTCAAGATATTCCCAGATTGGTATGTTTTATCAGGAAAACACACATAGAAACATAAAATTAGCCTGCCTAAAGAGTTGGAAAGGTTAAGAAGGAAATGCTGAAAAAGCAAAAGCGCTCACCATTTTCGTTCTTATACTGATTAACTTAAATTAACTTAAACTGAAGTATACTGACTTTCTAAATAACAAGCTCAACAACAAAATTTAATGTAAAACCATGTATATGCCAAATGGTAAGAAAAATGAGGGAGGGAAAAGAAGTTACTCATAAGTTTCCACTACTAACATTTAATAACTACTTTTATGCAGACATATATCTATCTTTCTTATGTAATTTAAATCAGAAACTGATCCCTTCTGGAGCCTGATCTTCTTTTGTGTGATTGGTGAGAAGAAAAAGAATATATTAGAAAGATAATTTATAAAGTTTATTTAGACATGACTATTTTAGGTCAACATTTGAAGGAGCTTCAAACTCCAAAGTTGAGGAAAAAAGAGAATTCATCCTAAAGTAAGAAATAGTTAAGAAAAAATATGAGAGATTTAAAAAAAATTTTTTTTTTAAAGATTTATTCCCTTTTGGGGGTAGGCATTATGGGCTGCTACAGAGTACAGAGATTTGGAATAAGGTTTTGTGATTTTCCTTTTTACTAACTAAACTCTACCCCCAATGTAGGGCTCAAATTCATGGGCCCCAAGGTCAAGAGCCACATGCTCTAAAAACTGAGCCAACCAGGTGTCCCAAGAGATATATTTTAGATATAAGTAAATATCTACCACTAACAAATGCCTAAATAAATTAAAGGACTAAATTTTGCTACTTCCTAAAACACCTGAATATTTTAAAAACTTGAAAAATAAAAAATAACTTACCTATAGGATATCCCAATGCAAAGTCATTACTTTGTGTGGCAAAAATAGGGAACAGTCCAGCTTTGCTAAATCGACTGTCAGGACTGGCAACCAATAAGGTTAATACACAGACAATGAAAAATACAGAAGCTTTGGCAATCAAGATACTGTATAGGAAAGACCAATCCACATTGGAAAAATTAAGTACAACCATATTTTTGAATAATAAAGCTGGAAGTGCAAATCTGGAGACAAAATTTCCCAGTCCTTTGGCCTGTGTTGATGTTATGACATTAGCTCTTCCTGCTATGTAGCCACAAAGGACAATGCCAAAACATTCTAGTAAGGCTGGAAAAAGCCTCGTTATTGACATTGAAGGTGGGTCATTAGTGGAATTAAATCTATGCACTACTGTTGAGGACAACGTCTTGCTCATATTGACTGCAATGGTTAAGTTCTCTGCAGGTAAATCAGAAAACGAATCCATTTTCTTTCACCCTCCAACTCCAACCAGATCTCTGGAAAGAAAGGAAGAAAGATTCAGTGCAACAATCAATAATGAGAATAATTCTAGTTGAAAGCATACACTAGCAAACCTAGACTTATCAAATGACCAAATAAATATATATACTTTCTTCAACAACCACCAGAGAAAAATACAATGAAAAAAAAAAAAAAAGGGTGAGAGTTTTTGTTAACAATAACCTTTTTTTTTTTTTAAAGATTTTATTTATCCACTTGACACAGAGAGAGAGAGATCACAAGTAGGCAGAGAGAGAGAGACAGAGAGGAGGAAGCAGGCTCCCCGCTGAGCAGAGAGCCTGATGTGGGTCTTGATCCCAGGACCCTGGGATCACGACCTGAGACGAAGGCAAAGGCTTTAACCCACTGAGCCACCCAGGCGCCCCAACAATAACCTCTTTACTCTCAAAGGTGGGTCAGCTCAAAATATTTATGTTGCTGTCCTATGTTCAGTATCAGACATGAATAAAATAAGATTAATAAATATGACAGTTGCAGGGATACCCCATGGCTTTCCCCCATGATTCACACTTGAACTCCACCTAGTGGGTAAGAGCCTGGGGCCCACAGAGCCTCTCCTGAAGGTCCACCTGCATCCAAATTCTCTGAAAATTTCAGTGCTCGAGGCTACATACTAGATAGGACAGTCCTGTCTAGCCTGTGGTCATATCCGAGTAGAGGACAGGAAGAAGAGTATAGTAGAATATCACATAGTAACTTTATCCAGTAACTTTCCTCATCTGTGAAATGGCAATGATAGTACCTACCTCATGGGGACTTGAGATTAAGTCCTTATAATCATGTCTGGCACAAAGTAATCACTTAACAAAAGTTAAATACAACTTTTGGTAGCCCATAAAAGAGAATGAAAGAAAAGATGATGGCATCCCACCAGGCTACCCTTAGCTCCATTTAAAGTAGCCTCATATATTTGCCTTCTTGAATGCTCCATAGTCTCTTTGTGTCACAGGGGCTTTGTACATGAAGTTCAGTGTAAAATGTTCTCTTCTTTACTTGCCACTGTCTGTAAAATAACACGTGTTCACCCTCTAAATCATATAGTTCAGGAGTTTCTTCACCACATAAGGCTTCACTAACCCCATAGCTAGGTCTTTATCAAGTAGAATCATGTTCCTTACCTGTAGGCTACTTTTCTCAGTTTATAATTATACCATGCATTAGAATGACTATTTGGTTTATGTCTATCTCTTTCACCAGACTTTAAGTGCCACTGAAGTAGGGACTCTGAATGTTTTTGCTCACTGTTGTACCCCCAACACCCAGCATGGTGCCTGGCACACAGGAAGCACTACTACAATACACAGTTATTATATATAACTAATTATATAACTATGTATATATATGATACATATATATATAATAATGATTAATGACTAAAATATTAAACTTTTCACCTTTTAGTGGATCAATGTTCTCTTTTAGGAACTATCTACTTCATGGACAGAAACCTTTTTTTCCCTGAATGATAAAGTATTCTAAGTTTTACACTATAGCAACAGGCCCAAGACCAGAAAATGTGTTCTAAAATGTCCTAAAGCTGTACATAAAATGTTAAAGAACACAAAATGTGTTGTAAAATGTTCTAAAGATGTTCAGAAAATGCTAAAGCAAGAAAATACTTTATGCTAGCATTACAGTACTTATCAGACTCCCTTCTTGCTGCCAGGGACACAATAAATATGAGGTTTGGGCAACTTTGCAACTAATCGGCTTTAATTAGTAATTTGAAATTAATATGGTGACAATTGCCAAATTCTAAGTGATTATTCAGGGTTGATCATCTAAAGTGGCCTTATATAAGGTAGAAAGTAAAAGCGCCCATGATTCCTGAAATTTACAATGCCAAGGGGTAAGTTTTCAAACATCCACATGACATAAAAAAGACTCAGACAGCAGACCAGAGATCAGCAGTAACTGATACATGGGGTGTGGGTATGATAATTTTCTCTGGGCTACCCTCATATAAACGGAACCATTTAAAAACCGTACATTTAATCTGGATCAGGACAAGTATTTTTCTACCAGGATTAGATAGGAGTGGTTAATATACACAAAACCTACAATAATCACATACTTGAAGTTTACCAAATAAGCATCAAATTATATCCTGGGAAAGCTAATGGTTGGGACAGGTACCATTAGTTGAAGTAAGGAGCTGATGAAAGGTGTTAAACATTTGGAGCCCCTAACAGGTGTGGACTTGAAGAGGCAATGTTAAAGAATAAGGAGATAAACTTCTCCAGTCTTATTTCTTTAAAGTTCCCTATCTTTGTTTGCCTGGAATGTCAGTAACTCATACTGCTCACTACCCTTTATTTGTACTACACTCATATATCAATGTATTACAATAATTTTTTAACCAACAGTTTTAACTAAAATAGTGGTTGTTCACTGAAAAGAGCCAAATAGACCTGAACCCAGTTTGGGAACTTATAACTTATGAACTCTTTGGGCAAGTTAAATATCCTCTCTGAACCTTAGCTTCTTCAACTGTAAAATGAGAGTGAAAACCTTCTTAAAGGGATATTGTGAGGATATGAGACTTCATACACAGCTTTTCACAGAGTAGGTCTTCAAGAAATGGTAGCAACTGCTATTAGAAGTGTGGCCATAATGAGAATGGCAACAGATTAAACACAATTCATTGTCTTATGCCCATTCTTCAAACTTGGTATTAAAGATTTCTCCAACTAAAACAGAGAGATGGGATGGGTCATAGGTTTCTAGCTTTTATTTCACACCAAACAACTAAGTGGAGTTCAAATAAATTCAGTTTGATCTTAAGTTGTTTTTAGCTGGGAAGGGAGAGATCTTCATTTTTATCAACGTGATGGTCAAATAGTTGTAGCACTGCCCAGGATTAACCTTACATTAGTCAAAAATTAAAAGAAAACCTTTGAGAAGTAATCTGCCCCTTCTCAGGAAGATTCTTTTAATGTTCCTCAACATCATAAAAGCAATACTTGCTAACAGAGGAAAGGTTAAAACAACCAAAAAAGCACTTACAAAGGCTTTTCATCTGCCCCCCCCCCCCCGCCGCCACCACAACGGGAAGAGTATATACTTTTTAAAGCATTCTTTGAAAATGAACAGAAGGACAGCAATGGAAGTTTTTAAAAAATTACATCCAGTCCTTCCATCTCATTAAAAACAAGGGTTGCTAAAAGAACAAGCAAGTTGACCTTTCACAGTAAAAGATTGCTCCCTGGCCACACTCACTGGGGTGAGGAGTGGAGAAATGCTATATACAACCCCCTTGTAGCCACTGATAGTTGGTTGAGATAACTGCAAGGAACCACTGAAACTGTAAACAACTGCCATTGTTAAGTGAAAACGGGGAAGAGGGTTCTGATTTATTTCAAAGAGAAAGCTTTGAAACACCCAATATCCATTATCCTGTGGGAAAAGCATAACAGAGTATAATACTATTAAAGCACTTCAACATCAACAGTCACACCACCCGCCCACTCCCACCTACTTGCAGAGGACCAAATGTCCTCCCTAGAGAACTAGGGTGGGGAGTGCTGAACACTGCCTCTTCCCTTGTCAGCACGGACAGACTCTGGCCCTCTAAGATAAGGATGTGGAAAGTTCTTAACCAGACTGCCCAGAGACCAGCTGCCACCCAATGCCCAGGCAGACAGCAGTGGAAGTGGAAAGGCAGACTAAGGTCTGTGCCTGGGATTAAAAAGTTGGTCTCAGCTTCCCCAGGGCATGGGAATCACAACGTCATGGTATCCGACATGCTCCAAAAAGGGGTAAGGAAGAAAATTTGGTGTAGCGCTCCAGGTACCCACGCAGAAGCTCCCAGGAAGGCAGACACTGAGGCCACCCCCTCGGGATAAAAGGAAGAATCCGAGAATGTCAGCGTGGACATACGAGCAATGAGGCTCTCCTCAAACTGGGGTATGGCTGTTCTGCAACTGGAGGGGACAAGTGGTGCCTTCCCCTACATTAAGTCTTTCTGAGTGGCTCCGGAGGTCCTAAAAGCGGGGCAGGAGCAGGCAGTGGACTGCACGCCGGGGTGCCAAGGGCGGGGCACTGCCCACCTGCCCAGACCTGAGAGGCGGGGATGGGGGCACCAAGGGTACCCAAGGCCGAGCCAGGGCGGGGCAGGTCCGCGCCCCCGGGGCCCCATCTCACCTGCTACGTCTGCAGCCCCGGGGCAGCGAGAGGGGAGTCGATGCTCGTGTTGGGCCAAGCAGGGAGGAAATCACCGTCATCTCCCACCCCAGCCCTCTTCACCGAGAGCTGCGGGCTGCTGGAGGCTGACTACAGCAGCTCTGTCACGTTCCGAGAAAGTGAGGTGCGGGAGTGCGGTGCTCAGGTCAGCTCCTCCCCGCGCCGGCCGCGCGGCCCCGCCCCACCCGCCCCGCCTCGCCTTTAGGCCCCGCCCCCAGCCTTGAGTCTTCAAGCTGCCCCGCCCCGGGAACCTCAGAGCTTCGTGGCCCCTTGTCCCGCCTTCAGACCCCGCCCCCCGCCTCGAACCTCCGAGCGCACGTCCTCGGCTCCGCCTCAGGCTCCGCCCCCGCCGCGAGGCTTCTAGCCGCGCGGTCCCCTGTCCCGCCCTCAGAATCCGCCCTTGTGGAGATGTGGGGGATACCGGGTCCCCGGCTCCGCCTCCAGGCCGCGAGACTCTGGCGGCTTGACTTCCGGCGGCCCAGCTCTCGCAAAATGGCGGCTGCTGTGGGGGTATTTCCAGTCTCGTTTTCCTCGCCCTAAATTCAGATGCGGAAGCCTCTCGTTTTGCTGCCTAACGCCCAACCTCTTGTGATCCGCTAATTCATATGTGGGTTTGACTAGTCGTTTGATAGCGCAGAGTTTAAAAATCAGGTCTGGGCCAGAATCCTGCTTTCCCTCTTTCCCAAGGGAGTGTGGCCTTGACCTTCCAAAATCAGGGACTAAAATGTCTATAAAGCCTGTGCACTATGCCTGATTTGGATAGAATAAGCGCCTAGTCGCTGACTCCTTGTGTCTCTGTTGTGGGGGAAACTACATGTTTATCCTCTAAGTGTACTGAGAAGAAATTTGTTATATTGGTGGAATACTTCTGAGCTTGAAATGAAGAGGTCCCAAATTTAGAGCTCCATTTTGAAACCCGAAGAAACTATTTGTATTAATCTCTTGGAATCAAAATTATGTCAAATTCAAGGTGTTTATGATATGATTCCACTTAATATCTCCACAGGCATCTGTCCTTTGTAAAGCCTCTATTTTGCCTATTTTGCCTTGCATCCAACTATTTTTTCTTTCCTTTTTTTTTTTGGTCTGACAACCTCAGATGTGTTTCTATCATCTTAGTTTTTGTGCAAAGATACAAAAATGTATACTTTGAAAAATCACAGTAAGCTAAGGTTAAAGTTTCTAAAAAGCGGGAGAAAAAATGAGCAGAGAAAAACTACAGAAAAGTCATGCATTCTATTCCTGTTCTCACTTCACCTTTATTCCCCATCTTCACTCTTAACTGCCTTCTTTTTTCCCCCTTGAAACCGGCTAATTTTTTTTATTCTTCTGAGTGTATTATCTCAAGGCCAAAAAGATTTCTGTTTAGAAAGCATGAAGTTTTGTTCATTTAAAGAAATTCTGAGTTTTGACGTTTAGGAGAATACGTGAAGATATACTTGGAAAGGTAAGTTAAGGTCAGCCTCTAGGAGGTTCTTTAGGTTAGACTTTTTAGAGTTTGGGCCTTGCCTTATCCTCTGACCACAGTAAAACCATTAAATATGTTTTGACGGGAATGTGTCATAATGATTACATTGTTTTTGGATATGTAATCTGGAAGCTTTCCCAGGATAAGTTGAAAAAGAGACTGGAGGCAAGAAAAGCCGATGACTTTGGGAAGAACCTAGGCACTAGGAAATGAAGACATATGTACTTTGGAGTGATGATAATGAAAAAAGTGGAAACAGCATGAGAGACATTATAAAAGAAGAGCTGATGGGACTGGATTACTGATAGGGCCAAAGAAGATGAAGGAGGTAATGAACTAAAGTCCTTACTCCATTACATTAAGGAGAGGGAATTGAACTAGACAGCCTCTAACAGCCTTCCTAGTTCTATAGTCCGATTATTTTCTATCATTCTATTAATTGAAGATGAAAGGAAGAAATAGTTCAAATGAGAGAAGCAGTTACAAGAAAATAATGAATTTGATTTTAGGTCTAGAATCTAAAATCTTGATAAATTATCTAATTCAGTCTCTTTCTTTTTTTAAAGATTTTATTCATCCATCTGAGAGAGAGAGAGTGAGCAGGGAATAGGGGCAGAGGGAGAGAGAGAACCAGACTCCCTGCTGAGCAGGGAGCCTGATATGGGGCTCAATTTTAGGACCCCAGGATCATGATCTGAGCCAAAGCTTAACCAACTGAGCCACCCAGGAGCCCCTCAGCCTCATTTCTTGAAGGAGTTGTCATCGTCCTCGCCATGTGTGGTCCTGGAGATTCAGCAGTTGATCTAAGAACACCCAACTAATTGGTGTAAGAGATTGGGAATATAAGTACTCATTCTCCTGTGGATTAACTGCTCCTGAAGGTATCAGCACATGTAAATAGAGATTTCTGATAGACACCTAGAAAGAAAACAGAAGCTCAAGAGAAAGAATACAGCTGTAGATGAGGTTGGAGATATCTGTATGGAGTGGATAAGTTTCCTGAGAAGAGCAGGTTTGGGGGGGAAATTGTAGGAACAAAGTGTATACAGAGATGAAAGACCTCATTAAAAAGTCATTCTTAGGTAATTACTGGTGACTGCCTTAAGAAAACCATTTAATTTCACTATCATATCTGCTAATCAGTCTGTGAAATGCTGATCTACATATATTATTAACTGAAAAAAGGGAAAAAAGCTAAAAGTTATTCAAACTAATGGAGAAAAGCTATATATTAATCTTAACTTGTAAATGAACAGGACCTGGACCTTCATACACATTGATACCTTCATTTCCCTCAATTCCAGCTGGTAAAGATTGACAGGAGGAATAAACCAAGCGGTTTGTATAATGGCAAGGGTTGTGTAGGGTACATACTTGAGGCAGTGGGATATGTTATCAATTCCTGGTGAACTGTACTTTTTTTCCAATTTATGTAGTTTAATGTTTGGGTTTTTTTTCTGATTATTAAAGTAATAAATAATTATAAAGTATTCAGGTAATAGAAAAAGGAATGAAGAAAGTGAAAAGTCACAACACCTACAGATAATTTCAGTTAACATTCTACTATGTATGTATCTTTTTTCCATGCATATGTAGATTAAGAAAAATAGGATCATATAATACATATGATTTTTTATATACATGGTTTTAATAACGTTTTAAATTTTAATTTTTTAAAGGATTTTATTTATATAATTGTCAGAGAAAGAGCACAAGCAGGGGGAGCAGCAGGCAGAAGGAAGAAGCAGGCTCCTCACTGAGCAATGAGCCAGACATGGGACTCAATCCCAGGACCCCAGGATCATGACCTGAGCCAAAGGCAGATGCTTTAACCGACTGAGCTACCCAGGCATCCCTAACCTTTTAAACTTAATAACATGTAATTAACATTTTAAACCATACACCTAGATCTATATAACTTTTAATACCTATCAAGTATTCCCTATTGAAATTCTAAGCATGATTTTCCTTGAAAAGGTAGCACTCTGGGCCATCCAGAGAGTCTAATCAAAGATCAGCAAAGAAGAAGACACATATCTAATATTTCTTTAAAAATATTTAGTTTCTTTAAAACTCCCCATCACGTTTCCAACAGCACCAGTTTCTCCTTAGGGATACATATGATTCCAGAGAAGTTGACTTCACTCTGCCTTCAGAGGTGATGTAACTAATGTTGGCTATCCAATAAGTACATTCCCTCCCTTTGGCCCCAGTGATTCAGTCAGGGTGGGCACTGGCTTTAAAGTAGTTTGAAGTATGACTCTTAGGACTTTTGCTGAGAATGCTGATGTTCTCTTGCTTGCTGGACAGGGGAAGATGCTGGCAGCCATCTTGGGCCATGAGAGGAGCCAGTCTTAGAATGATGCAGACACCACAGAAGCAGAGTGGAGAGAAGAAAGTAAACAGGTCCTTGATGACAAATTGAGTTATAAAATCAAGCTTCATCTGAAGCCATGACTGGCCTGAAGCCTGTGGACTTTTCATTCATGTGAGCCAATCAGTTTTCTTTATTGTTTAAACAAGTTTGAATTGGGTTTTCTGTTACTTGAAATCAAATGTATAGAAAAAAATTCTAGAAGGAAATGCCAACAGCAAATATCCCTGAGTAGTAAAAATACACATGATTTTTTCCTTTGAAGAATATCTCCCAAAATTTCTACCCCAAAAAAGTACACTAATTTTTATCAAGCAAAAGCTTAAAATAAGTCATAAAGTATATATTTGGTTATGTGGAAATGGTGAATAATGTCTAATAGCAAGTATTTTTCTAAAACAAATTTAAAAGTCACTACTGTATATAAACTAGGTAGATATACAAAATCCACCCATAAAATAGAACAATTTAAGAGCATTGATACCATGCAATGTATGAATTTATACAAGGCTAAGGCTAATTCTTTACAAGGTTGATCTTTGTATCCTTAGTTGTTCTGTAAATGGCTTTTGAATGATTGATTAAAACATAATTGCCTATTAGCTATCAGGATGTTGAAACATATTTTTGTTCAATGAGATCTATTTGATATAAGCAACTGTGGGATAGCTTTTTTAGAGTAGCTGGATTTCTTATTTTTTCCAGCTTTTCACTTGGCCTAGGTTTATAGCCTTGCTTAAATATTCTCCTGAGGTGACTAGGTGGCTCAGTCAGTTAAGTGTCTGCCTTCGGCTCAAGTCATGATCCCAGGGCCCTGGGATTGAACCCCACGTTGGGCTCCTTGCTCGGCAAGGAGCCTGCTTCTCCCACTCCTTCTGCCTACATGTCACTCCCCCTGCTTGTGCTCTCTCTCTCTCTCTCTCTCTCTCTCTCTCTCTCATTATCCCTTTCTCTGTGTCAAATAAATAAATAAAATCTTTAAAACTAACTAACTAAATAAATAAATATCCTCCCAAATTGTGGGTTTTTTTTTTTTTTGGTTACTTTAAATGCTATAATTAAATAATTGCATTTCTAGTCCTTGAAGATAAAGCCCTAAAAATTAGCTTTTAATATAAATATAAAATATATATATATATGGATGTGTGTTTGTGTTTTTGTAAATAATTACTACCCCTCTTTCAATCTGCTATTAAAATATTCTTACAGAGTTTCATTATTATAAGGCAGCGAGTTGATGCTTCCAGGTTGGTAAACACATGGAGAGGCTAAAAGAGCGGCCTCCCCAGAGAGGGCATGACAGCTTGGC